AGGGGCTGCCAGGGAGGCCAGTCAGAATCCAGAGGGCAGGAGGGCACCCTCTGGGCACCAGGCATCCCTCCAGCCCCACACCCCGTCAGGGCCTGGGCTGGTAGTGTGAGGCTGGCCTTAGGTGCTGGGAGCCAGGAGAGGGCGCGGCCTGGCTGCTGGCGGGCCCTAGGGTGTCTTCAATAGCTCACTGCAGTGACTGTTCAGGGCTCTGGAAGGGCACCACCGCTGAGACTCTGGCCGCCTCAGAGGCAGGGCAGGGCCTCGCCCAGAGCATGAGCCTTCTGGGGCCCCCAGGTTGACAGAAGGGGAAGGAAGAACTCCAGGGGCCCCCGGGGTACTCAGCCCTCCCCCAGGGTGATCAGGACCAGCACACCAGGCACCCCCACGGCCCTGAGGCCTCCCCGAGTGGCCTGCCCCTCACCCATCCCCCTCTTTGGAGGGAAGCTCAGCCCCAGTGGTGGCCCTCGTCCCGCGGGCTCTGGGCAAGGTGGACAGCAGGGATGACCCCGTCGGTGTGCAGAGCTGGTGGGGTAATGTGGATGGGGAGGCACGGCCCTGCCCTGGGGCCCTGGGATGAGACCCCGGCCGCTGCCTGGCTCTGCATCCCCGTTCCCCACCCCACTGGCCCCAAAGCCTGCACCCCCTCCCCATCACCCACCCACCGGCCCAGGGTGTGGGGGGCAGGGAGGCAGGCCTCCCCCCACTGCCGGCTCCCCTCTCCCACCCATGCAGCATCGGGACTCCATGCATGGAGCTCCTGGGTGGGCAGGAGGCTGCATGACAGGTGGGGGCTGCTGTCAGTGCTGCGGGGGGCCCCAAGCAGGTGCCTCCTGTGGCCGCCATGCTGGCTGGGAGCCCCTCCCCCTCACCTCCACTGGGTCCAGTGGCCTGTGTTCCAAGCCAACGTGAAGGGCTCTAGCGATTTTACAAAGCTCCCCGCCCCCGCCACCACCCCCAGGGCTGCTGTGGGGTGCCAGGAGGGAGGAGGGGAGCCAAGGGGCCCCAGGGGACAGGTCCTGAGTGAGTCCATGAGGAGCCAGGCCAGCATCCCAGCACTGGGCAGTGAACCTGATCGTGACCATGGCCTGCAGCTGCGGTCACCTCGTGTGTTGCAGGGAAGACAGGCACCATCGCGAAGTCGGGAAAGGGAGAGAGCTGAATCAGCCAGCGCCACCCACCCTGAGGCCAGAGGTGAGGTGAGCGGGGAGGGACTTCTGCAAGGGTGTGGGCGCAGGACGAGGGCTGCCGTGGCCTTCCCAGACAGTGAGGGCCAGGGTGGTGACATCCAGGAGGAGGGGATCGTGGGGAAAGGGAGAGTGGCAGCGACAGGGGGGTGCCCTTGCTGGGGACACTGGAAAAGTCAGAAGGTGGTTTCTAATAACCCCTCCCCCTCCCTGGGCCTCCCATCCTGATCTTGAAACCCCAGGGGCCTCTCTCAAGCCTCACCCGCCATATCTCTCACACACACACACACACACACACAGACACACACACAGGTGCCCCTGAAATCCATCCATCAAGGATGCTGTGGGTACCACAGCCTAGTTCCCATAGCAACGCATAGATGGTGAGGGAGGGGAGAATAGTGGCAATGCAGAGAAACACTCAATCAAGAACAACAACTTACAAAAATGAGCATTCAGAGAGAAATAACCTTGAAGGGCAGCCCAGCCCTGGGCTGAAGGTACCACTGCCCATACCTCACACAAACGCACTGGCCAGCGCTGACTGCAGAACGGCTCTGCCAGCAGAGAGGACAGGCCCACGCAGCGTCCCTGAGTCCATCGTGGGGGTGGCCAGGGTGGGTGTCAGGCCAGAGGAGCGTCCTGGGGGAGGGGGATTCTGCTGTCCAGCGGAGGGCCAGGACTGGAGCAGGGCTGAGGTGTGGGTGGCTTGTCTGGGGTGACTTAAGCTCAGGCACCCCTGGACGGGAGCAAGCACCGGGAGGAGGCTGCCCAGGAGGCAGCCTGCTGAGGAAGGGAGGATCGGATCTGCAGGGAGCGGCTGTGAGAGGGGTGACCAGGCAGAGGGCGGGGCAGTGTGTCAGCCTCCAGCGTGGGCTGCACGGGTTGGGGTGTGGAGGGGCACCCAAAGGGCCTTGAATACGTGCTGGGGGAGTCAAGGAGGGTGCCGGGGCAGCAGACAACCTCAGGAGTCAGATCTGGGGGTCACGAACTGGAGTCCTGGGTGGGTCCAGGCCCCACCCGGAGGAGTGTCCCTGGCCTCCCCGACCCCACCCCGTCTGAGAAGCCTCCTTCTGAGATGTCTCCCTCAAGCCCGAGGAAGGACGTGGACTCCCAGCCCAGCCCACAGCGTGGGCGCCCGCGGCCCATCTGTTCTTGGTAGGGAAGCCCACACGGCAAGGGGTTTTCCTGCAGGAGCTGAAAGGAGCAAACCCCAGGCAGGGTCCCGGCAGGAACACGGCTTTCCTTCCCACCAGGGACGCGGCTCCAGGAGGCATAGGGGTCTGGGTGGACCTCGAGAGCTTGCTCCAGCCAGGGGTCAGAGGAGAGCGGTGTCTGTGCTCCCCGAGGCCAGGCGGGAATCCTCACCTCACCAGGCTGTTTCTGAGGCCGAGGACGAATGGGGGGCTCATAGTCTGGGACACCTTGACCCCTCTACCGGGAGGCGTCAGGACTTCCGGTCAGGCCCCCCTAGCCAACACTTCCCACAGTGGACAGAAGGAAGTGACAGAGGAGGGTCTCTGACCACAACACCGACGCCCTCCCCCAGGGCAGGCGCCTTCATTCCCGTTTCTCCTGAGTGCAGAGACACAGACTAACATTTTCCAGCAGAAATGTATTGAGCACCAGGGCAAAACAGAGACAAGATAATTACGGGGATAACAGAGACTAAAAATAGCCTCCTTTGCAGCCCAGACTCCTGGCACAGGAGAAGCCAGACGAGCCAGCACAGGAGCCAGACCAGGGCTGCCAAGGCAGTGGACCCCTGGCATGCCCGCCAGCGAGGAGAGGGTGCAGGGTGGCATGGGGACGTCCGTGCTCAGGCAACAACTGCCAGGGCCAGGAGGGACAGGGAGGATCCAAGCTGATATCAAGGTGGGGGGGAGGGGGGCTTCTGCAAGAGGACGACAAGAGCAGGGCTTTGTAGGGTGAATAGGGGTTTGGCAGAAAGTGACAGTTCCCTGCAGAAGGGGTGGGGGCACTGTGGGCTGCTTCACGGCTCCTAGTGGGAGAGTCAGAAAGGTGGGCAAGGGTGGTGTCCGAGGGGGCCTCCAAGGCCACGGGTTGGAGCCATCTGGTGACCCTTGGTGTGTGGGCTCGCTTCCCCCTCAGGAAGCCTCTGTCTTTGGGGAACAGCCTCTAAGCCAGACTCCAGTCCCCGGGTACTCTGAGCCCGGGCCTGGCACGCTCTGCGAGGGGTTCCTGTGGGCTCCCCGAGCTGGGCCTGGCATGCTGCTTGCAGAGTTCCCGTGGGCACCCCAAGCCTGAGCCTGGCGTGCTCCGTGCGGGGTTCCCGTGGGCACCCCAATCCTGAGCCTGGCGTGCTCCACGTGCACCCTTTTGACTGAGCCCCAGCAGCCGCCGTGCTCCTTCCTCGGGTCAGAGACAAGCCTGGGGCTCAGCCGGGACATGGGGAGGGCCTCAGTGAAGGGCACCACACAGCCCCGACCCTCTCTGGGGCTGAGCTGAGGAGGCTGTGCTTGGAGGTGCCTGAGGCCCAGCGTCCTGGGCTCCTGCAAGGAGAGCAGGTCAGCGGGAGGACGCACCCTGCCGCAGAGTCAGGCGGGAGGAAACAGCTAATGAGAGCCCGGCGGCAGGCGGGGGGGCCTTGGGGAGGAAACATGGAGGAGGTCTGCTTCTCAGGGATTCTGGAAGGACAGAGCCCAGCAGGATGGGGAGGGGCCGGAGGGCTGGAGGGAGTGCGGCAGCGGCTGAGGGGTGGGCCGAGAGGAGTGGACACGGAGGTTGGGAGCAGCTGCGGAAGCGGGGCTGGGGAGTTGGCGTCACCTTCCACCGCAGGGCCCTAGAGGCTGGCCTGGAATCGGGGCTTCACCCAGAGGCTGCGGAGACGCTTAGAGATCGGGCTCAGGGCCTTCCCGGTAGTGCTTTTATTCTTTCCAGACCGTTTTACTCAGGGAGGGGGTTCCAGAACAGCGCAAACCAAATGCAAACGCAGGCTCCAGAGTCTCATACAGCAGCACCTCCGGGGGAGAGCACGTATGTGGTGATGGCAAACGGAATGAGAGAAGCTATTTGAAATTCCAGGAAGAAGCTAAACATCATAGAAGGAGGAAAATTAGCCTTCTAGCCTGGAGGACGCCAGGTCCGGCTAACTGAGCATGCAGCACGAAGTTAGCAGGGAAGGCGCGCTGGCCTCCCGGGGAGGGGCAGGGGCTGCCGCTCAGGGACGGGTCACCCAGGACGCCGGAAGCCGGCAGGATGACTCGTTCTCTGTGGAGGAGACGCGGAGCCCCAGCCAGCTTGCCTGGGAGAGCTGCCGTGGGTGGGCTGGGCCCGGTGCAGTGGGCCGGGGGAGCCCAGGCCTCTCCTGGGGTCCCGCGGGGTCGTCGTGAGGCTGCGAGGCCCGGGCTGGGGACAGAGACGCAGCTCCAGGTGGACATGTGGGTGCAGAGAGAATAGCAAGAGCGGCCAGCCAGGCTGGGGGGCTGGGAGAGGGCGCCCCTGCTCTGCCCAAGGCTTCCCACTTCCAGAAAGGCCGCCCCGCCGGCCACTCCACAGCCCTGGGGTCTGGCTCCAGCTCCCGCTGCAGCCCACATTGCTCTTCCGGGGCCCCCGAGGTGGCCTGGGGGCAACCCTGGGGCTCCGGGGTCCTCGGCAGGGGTCCGGAGTGGCTAAGACAGGACGGCTAGTGGACGGGCAGCGTGATGCCGGTTCAGGCTGACAGAGGGCAGAGGGACCCAGTGGAGGGACCCAGAGCAGGGACCCTGGCTGCCTGATCTGGGCTGGCAGAGATGCGGAGGAGGCCATCAGGAGAAACTGCGGACCCCGGCTTCTGCTGGGCCTCAGCTTCCCCACCTGTGGAGAGGCCATCTCAGAAAGGAGTGGGGGTGGAGGGCCAGAGGAACCCCCGCAGCTGCTGCCCACTGGCGCGGAGGGCTGGGTGCTGGGCTGCCCAGCCTCCTTCCTAGAGGAAACAGGCGGATGTATTCCACCCATCCCAGCTGCTGCGGAAGGGGGGCACCAGCTGGGCACTCGGCAGGCAGCGTGGGAGAGCCCCTAGGCCGTCTGGCAGGTCTGTGGGGGCCCCTCGCTGGAGGGGAACCAGAAAAGGGGAAGTCTCATAATTTGGGCACGAGAGGAGTCTCATAATTTGGGCCGGTGGGCAGCCAGGGCCGGGGGGCAGTGACTGGTCAGAAGTAGGGGTCATGAGTGGCCAAGGGGAGGGGACAGTGGGTTCAGGGTCAGTGGGGCCAGAAAGCACACTGTCCTCCCATAGACAGTCCTCTGACCCTCAGCAGTCAGAGAAGCAGGCTTTATAGCAGCAGCCCTAGAGGCCGAACCAGCTTGAATCTTGAGGTCAGGAGCATCCCTTCAAGAAAGTCATTACTTTGAGCATCTTCCAGGAGGTAGGCCTGGAAGACAGGGAGTCCTGGGTGGGTCCCGGCACCCCCGAGCCTCGGATCAGGGGAGGCCTGGAGCATACTTCACGCCTTGGACCCAGAGTCACTGTCCCCCCCCGCTCCCCCCCGCAGTGAGGTGGGCCTCTGGAATTCCCAAGTGGATGAGCTATTGGCTGTGCACCCCCCACCCCAGGGCACAGAGAGTCTGTGACACCCCTGGGCAGCCAGCGAAGTCACAGGCAACAAGACCTACCCTGCCAGCCCATGAAAGCCCACCCCGGCACAGGCCTGGGGGCCGAGCTAGGCTGGGCCTGGGGGCAGCCGCACCCAACGTGCTGAGCATACCCCAGACGGCACCCTGCCCCACATCCTCACATCAGCTCTGCAGGTGGACTCAATTTTCTAGAAAGAGAGGCCCTGGGACTTGAGCCCCAGCCCATCCGGCTCAGAAGCCCCCCACCAAGCTGGGTGTGCAGGGTGAGCCCCTGGGGCAGCCCCGTCCCCCCCACTCCCATCTCTGCCTTCCCAGCTCCAACTTCCCGGGAGGGAGGAGATGAGACCGCGGCCTGAGGGGTCTGGATGGGCGGGACGGCGGGGGTGGAGGCAGGGAGCACCCTGTCTGGGACCCTGGGTTGGGGGACTCTCCACAGCAGCTTGAGGTCTGGCTCCCCCGCCCGTGCCAGCCCACTCGACTCCGCCCTCCCGCCTCTTTTCTTGGGACACAAAGACACAGAGCTGCATCTCAGATTACTGTGAGTGTTCAGCTTGCCTGTTCTACAATCATCCAATTACAGACAGGAAATTCATATTAAAAGGAAAAAGCACCCAGAACACCCAGCTTTTGATGTGAGCAGGAGTAGGTCTCCTGGAGAAATGACTGACTCTCAGGCATCACTATGGTGCCCAGCCTCCTGTTCCTGCCGATTTCCTTCCCCATTCTTGTCAGCACTCTGAGTGTTTGAAAGGAATAAAGGAGAACAGGGAGGAGGCGGCCTTCGCCGAGGGTGTCACACCGGGCGCCGGCTCGGTTCTGCGTGCACGGTGACGGCGTTCCTGGCAGCAGGTGGTTCTCGCTGCTCCCGTGTGTTTCCGGCCTTCCTGGGCGCTCCCTGCGTCCCAGTAGGCGCCATCCTCTCAGCAGGGACAGCCATGTCCGGCCCTCACCCCACCCAGCAGAGCAGCCCCTTCTGAGGGCAGGGTCGGCCCCGGCAGGCCACTGGTGCCCGTCACCAACCACGGTGGCTGGGAGGCGCTGGGGGGGGCTTTACCACCAGCCTGGCCAGGGCGAACCTATACACCTGTGCCTGAAGGCCTGTACGAGGCGTTCCGTCAGACCCTCACCCACGAGAGGTCCTGAGGGTCTGTATGAGTGTGACAGACTTTCTGTATCAGACGACTGGAATTAAAGATGAAGGGAGATAATCTGGGTGGGTAGGGGTCCATCAGTTGAAAGACCTGAAGAGCAGAGCTGAGCCTTCACCAAAGGAGACGTCCCATGCCCAAGGGGCCCCCTGCCCTGCAGACTCGGGGCTGGCCCTGCCGTCCCACCATCCCACCATCCTGTGAGCCGACTCCTCGACACAAACCCCTCCGTGTCCACCTCCCCAGGCCTGCTTCTCACTCCACGCTGCCTGGTGGACAGGTCCGAGCCTCCCCCACCCACAGGCCACCTGCCCATCTCCTGTAACTACCTGGTGTTCTCCACGAAGGCAGGTGTGTTACGGCTTATGTGCACAGTGTGGATCGCCTCCTGTCTAAGGTCTCGAGCCCGCAGTGGTTTCAGTGATGGCTTCTCTGTCTTGCAGATGAGGAACGTGAGGTTCTTCACTTTCCAGTATTCACTGGAAAGACTGATGCTGAATCCCCAATTCTTTGCCCACCCTGACGCTGGGAAAGATTGAGGGCAGGAGGAGGAGGCGGCAGAGGATGAGATGGCTAGAGAGCATCACCACCTCGGGAGGTAGTGAAAGACAGGGGAGCCTGGCGTGCTGCAATCCACGGGGCCGCAGAGTCGGACACACCTGAGTGACTGAGCAATGTGAGGCTCAGAAAGATGGAGTTTAAGACCCTGCAGCCAAGACTCACCAAGGTCTCCCCGCAGCAGGGACCTTAACCAGCTCTCACGGGTCCAAACCCTGAGAATCCCCTCTGGGCCCACAGGCCCCTGGGCAGGTGGAGTCCTGGCAGCAGACGCGTGCCTGGGACCCCCACCAGCCCCCCTGCCCCCGGCACGTCCCACACCTTGTCGTCCACTCAGCATGAATGGCGGTGGCTCCGGTGTTCTGAGATGGTCAACCCTACCCCTGGGTTCCAGGGTCCCGCCACCCTGAACGGCCTCCCTCTGCAGGTCCCCTCCAGCCAGCAGAGAAACAGCAGCACACACACGCCAGTAAGTTTCAGTGTTTTATTAACAAAGTCTTAGAAAAAGCGTCTGTCTTCAGGTGAGGTGGCAGGGTGGACATGACCTGGCCTGACATTCGAGGCTTGATCCACAGGGGGCAGGGACTTGACCACACCCCCCTGAGGACCTTGGGGCCTCCCCGTAGCCTGCGCCAGCCGAGGAGGGCAGGTTATGGCTTATGTGCAAAAATAAAATCTGGGGCGGGGGGGCGGCGCTGGCAGGACACGGGACGGAGGGGCAGGCAGAGTTTCCTGAGGGAGCTGGTCTCCCAAGTCTGGGAGCCCCCAACCAGGCCTGCTTGGGCTGCAGACACAGGTGGCCGGCCAGCACCAGGGAGTTGGTGGCTGGGGCAGTGGGGGTCTGGCCCAGGGCCGCGGCAGGGCCTGGCAGGGAGCCTGAGTGAGCCCCAGGGGCACAGGCTTCCAGGCCTCCTGGGGCTGGGCCTGGGGCCAGCGGGCGGGGCGGCCGTGGCGGAAGCTCTAGCGGCAGAGGGTGGCCGCGCAGCGGGCAGGGGCTCCGGGCTGGGAGCCAGGCCGGGCCCGGGAAGGCGGCGGCCCTGGGGGCGGGCGGGCAGTGGGCAGCCAGCGGGGCGGGCATAGCGGCAGGCCCTGGCCCTCGCCCTGGCCCCTCTTCACCACCAGCTCTCTGCTGGGCCCCCTCCTCTGGTCTCAGGCTTCTCCTCTCGTGCAGGCAGCTTGCAGGGGGAGAGGAGAAGGGACAGTGCCGGGCACAGCAGCAAAGGCTCTGTGGGAGCCTGGAGACCTGAAAGGAAGGAAGACACGGGCGTCAGGGACTCGGGTGGCCGGGGCGGGGCGGGGCCGCCCTTTCAGAGAGCGAGCCCCTGGGGTCCCGGGGGGGCTGTTTCTCAGCTGGCCCAGAAGACTGGGGGCCTGGGGCGAGCTGGGGGGCCCCTGGTGAGGACAGCCGGGGGCGGGGTCCCCGGTGTACCTGTCGTCACTCTCCTGGCTCTGAGGGCCGGCTGCTGCCTCAGCCGGGCTGGAGGACTCAGGCCCCAGGGGACCTGCCGCCTGCTGTGGGTGAGTCATCGCGGGGCTCTGGCCCTCTCCACTGGTGCTGCGGGGAGAGAAAACACAGGGCCCGGTGAGAGCTGGGTCAGCAACCTCCGCCAGCCCTGCCCCCCACTCCAGCCCCCTCCCTGACCCCTGGGATCTCCCCTTCACACCACCCCAACCCCATCCCAGCAGCTGATTTTTAGGAGCGCCAGGGGCTCTGAGCCTCCAGCTCGCCTGGCAGGGTGGGCTTGGCCCTGGGCCCTCCCAGCCCTATGGTGCCCCCTGGCGGTGGTGCCAAGGGGCAGGGGCTCACCTGAGTGGCCAGGAGGCACCGGGTCGCCAGGTCTGTTGCTGCCACTGCGGCTGCTGCTGCTGCTGCTGCTGCGTCTTGAGCTTGGGCTCTCCTCCAGGGGGAGGGAGCCACATTGCCCGAGGCTGGCCAGCTGCCCCGGGGGGCAGCAGGGGTGCCAGCCGGTCACGGCGACTGCCAGGAGAAGTAGCTTCCCTGAAGCCCAGGCTGCGGGGGCACCAGTGGCCCCTGAGCTTCTGCTCTGGGGTGTTCCTTGAGCTGGGTGCGCGCCGGCCCATGCCATTTGGACACTGGGTTTCTGAGTGCCCAGAGGGCCCAGGCATTGATCAGGATAAGGAAACTGTTATGGCCTGAGAGCATGGAGGGCGGGGTCGCTGACTCAGGCCAGTCCACCAGCGGGGAAGACAGACGCAGGGAGGGTGAGGGCTGGGTCTGCGAGGAAGGGGAGCCCCTTGGCTGTCTGGGGGACACTGCCCGCACCTGGGTCACGCGGGTCTGTTGGAGTCAGGCTAGGAGGCTGAGGTGAGCGTCCGGCTGCACGAGGAGACTAAGGGCCCCCCTGCAGGGGCGGGCCCACTCAAAAGTCCCGGTGGGCGAGGGCCACAGGCGGGCAGGCGGGGCCGGCACCCTCTACTCGGGCTGAGTCCGGTCGCTGGCTACGGACTCGTTGGTGAGGGCGGGCGTGAGGGCCTCGGCCTCCTCCGCGGCGGGCTCGGCCGCCTGCTCCAGGCCATCCTGCACCTCCATGCCCTTCTGGATGAGCTGCTCCAGGGTCTTGGGCAGCGGGGGCCGCAGGAAGCGCTTGAGCTTGGGCTGCAGCGTGCCCACCACATACTGGATGATCTCCTCCTCCTCGGCGTCCACGTACAGCGTCTGGTACAGGTCCCGTTTGCGCCACAGGAACTGGTCCAGCGGCTCGCCCTGCTTCTGCGGCAGGTCCAGCTCCCTCTGGATGGCCTCCCGGGACAGCGTGCCCTCGCTGTACTGCAGGAACTCCTTCTTGAACTCCACCCAGTTCTTCACGGAGCCCTGCTTGTACTCCCACCACTTCTTGGCCGGCCCGTTCATGTGGTTCTGGATCTGAGACAGCCAGTACTCCTCGGAGCCGCCCACCTGGCGCAGATAGTCCTCCAGGTGGCGGAGGAACTCCCGCGGGTCCTCGAAGACCTGCGTGTCCACGCCGGGGCTCAGCTGCCCGTCCTCCCCCGGCGCCCAGGGCGGGTACTGCTGGGCTTCCACTTCCTCCTGCCCCGGCAGCTGGCCGGCGGCCGGCGGGGGAGTGATGGCGTAGGGGCTGACAGTGTAGTCGTAGTTGTCCGCATCCTGGCAGTAGCTCTCGGGACCCCCGACGCCCACCGAGACGGTGTGGCGCGCTGGGTCGCTGCCCACCGGGTACTTGCCGCCCGCGGACTCCAGGCGGTCGGCCCACCTCTCCAGACGGTAGAAGACCTCCCGCCACACGTGCATCTCCCGCTTGACCCAGCGCTCCAGGTTGGCGATGGTCTCCTGGCAGCGGCTCAGGCAGGCCTTGATGGACTTCTTCCAGCGCTGCGAGTCGCCGGTGGGCACGTACCCGTCCAGGTTGCTTTCCAGCTTGCCCACGGACCGGTGCAGCCCCTTCAGCTCCCGCTCTACTTGCTTGGACACCTCGGCGAGCAGGTGCCGGTGGGTCCTCCGCACGTGCTCCAGCATCTCCGCCCGGCACTTACCGATCTGCAGGATCACGTTGGGCTTGGCGGCCGGCCCGCCGCGGGGCGCGGGGTAGGCGTGGAGGCCGCCGGTCGTCCTGTGGTCCAACTCCATCGGCTCGCAGGTTGCGGCGGGGCTCGCTCGGACAGCCGGGAGAGGGAAGCTGCAAAGTCCTCTTGGGGACGGCGAGGGGCTGCTGGGGGCCGGCTGCGCGGAGCTGCGAGGCGCGGCGGGCGGGTCCCGCGGAGGAGCTGCTGGTCCCGGCTGGTCGCGGCGGCGGCGGCGGAGCGGGAGGACTCAGCGCCCGAGCTCTGCGCTGGAGCTCGGCCGCCGGCTCTTTATGCCGCCAGCGCGGCCCGTGGGCGGCCCCGTCGCCGAGCCTCGGCTCCCATTGGCCCGGGCGCCGGCTCCCCGCCCGCGCCCCCAGCTTGCCGGCCCGCCTTCCCGCGCCTACGCGCGCTCCCGGCGGAGGGAGGACCCACCCCCTGCACACCCGGCGGCCCGGGGTGACTAATGCGCTCGCTCGCGCCGCCCCCTCCCCGACCCATTCAGCCCGCGGGGACCCAGGGATGGAGCTGGGCACGGACCACGACGCCCCCTCTGCCAGCGCGGGTCAGGGAGGCCAGGTGAGCGCCCCGGGGCCCCCCACCCGGAGGTAAGGAGGAAGCCCCCTCTCCTGGGCCCCTCCTGGCTTGCTTCCCCCTGTGGCTGCCACCTCCTGCCTGCGGGGGGTCGGGGGTGGGAGGGAGTGCTGGACGTTGCGCCCCTGGGCCACCGGCGCAGGCCCCCGACCTTGCCCAGCCGCGGTCTGCGGGACGTTCAGCCACATGTGAGACCTGGCCACCACCTCGGTACTCGGACCCTCTTTCCTTGATCTGAAGACCTCGAGGCATGTTCATGTGCACACACACCCCCAGGTGTCAGGTGTGAGTCCCCGACGTGGCCTGACCCCTCTGTCCCTGCCCGGGAGCCCCTGAATCCAGGCCTGGGGCTGGCCCTGCGTCCGGTGTGAGGGGGACGCGCACCCAGGGCTTGGCTGCCCCAGCTCCCTTGGCCATGGAGTGGGTGCATGTGTGCCTGGCTGGCAGTAGCTGGGCACGACCACCTGGCACCCCAATCCCAGGTCTTTGCTGAGGCCAGGACTTTTTCACTTGGTGCCTCCAGGGACACCTGGAGGCTGCTTTCAGGGGGCAGAGGGTGGGGGAGACGGAGGGGTCCTGCCTCCCACCACAGGGTGTGACCCCTGAACCCCCAGAGCACCAGAACTGGTCAGAAGCTCCAAGACTTCTAGGAGGATGGAGGTGGGGGGAGGGGGGAGGGTGCTGGCAGCCTGATGCGGTTGGAGGCAGAGAAGCAAAGCACCATATAAGGAACGGGGCTCCGGAAGCTGAGATTCCCTCGGGAGGGAGGTCCCTTCTGCCTCCCTGGCAACAGTATGGGGAAGGGACGTCCCCCTGGATGCCCATGACAGATGGCTGTGGTCCCAGGTCCTCTGCAGTTCTGCGGGCACAGGTGGCACACACTCCCCGCAGCCACGCACCACTGCCTGTCCAGACGCCTTCCCTGCGGCCAGCGCCCTCACACACACACACTACACACTCACCCCTCCCCCACATAGACACTCATACCTCACACCCGTCCATCCTCCCCCCACCCAGTCATCCCTGTCCACACCTACCCCCTCATGCCAGGCCCACCCGCCCCCAGTGTCTTGCTCACACGCGCGAGGGCACACGGGCGCCCACACTGCAATCCCCACTCTGGGCCCCCACCGGGGCCCCTTCTGTCCTGGGAGCACCCCTCAGAGCCAAGCTGCCACCTCCTTTCCTGCTCTAAGCTTCCACCCTTAGCTGGGAGGAACGTCTCCCTGGCAGAAACTCCTCCCAAATCGCACTCCTGGCATTTCTAATTAAAGGCGAGTGGGTGAGCAGAGAGGGAGCAGGGTGGGGAGTGGGCCAGCTGCTGCCAGAACAGGAATCCCAGGGCCGGAGGCAGTAGGGTGTCTGTGTGCGTGAGCGGGGCTGGTCACCACAAGCCTGCGACCACATCTGAGTGCCCTGGTCAGGAGAGGCCTGCAGCGAGCCAGCCAGGCAGGGACCGCACGTGTGCACCTGTGTGCATGTGTGTGTGTGTGTGCGCACCTGCATGTGGCGGGGGTGCCAGAGCCAGCACCTGAGTGACCAGTAGGGATGGCTGGTCACCCCCTCGGTTTACAGAGGCCCTGTGGCCCCTGAGCTGTGGGCCGGCTGGGGCAGGAGGCTGGAGGTGGGCATCCCCTCTGTGGGCGGGAGAGTGGGTCTCAGGGCAGCCTGGCAGGTGGGCTGGCCTCCACACCGGCCCTCGGTGGCCCCTCTGCCCGGCCAGCCTGGCCTGCTGTGGGTGCGGAGGGTGCTGCACAGAGGCTGCGCTCACGAGGCCGCTGTGACAGGTGACGGGCCGCAGCCGCTGCTCCGGGAACACTTAATCGCTGCCCAATTATCGCCCCAGAAGCCCTCAGCACACCCCCACGCTGCAGCCTCAGGCTCCATTCTCCTGCCGCCTCCGCCTCCGGAGAGGAGGCCTGGCCAGCTCCGTGCCTGTGGGGGCTGCCCCCACCTCCCCTGCCCGTGGGGCTGAAGGCCTCCGGCCCCAGCCCACCCAGAGCAGGCCGGCTCAGGCTGAGGAGGGGCGGGTGCAGTGGGCAGCGGGGCTGTGCAAGGACGGAGCGGGGGCCCAGCCCCCCACCCCCAGCTCTCAGAGCCTGGCTGGGCTGCTGCTCCTCAGGCCTGGCAGTTCCTGACGCCTCGCCTGCCCCAGATGGAAGCGGGTGAGCAGGAGAGGCTGGGTCTGCCCAGCCAGCGTGAGGGTCCGGGCAGCCCCCATTCCAGCCCCTCCAGGTTCTAATGCTCTGCCCCCAGGGCTCAGGGCTCCCAGCCCCCAGGGGCTGCTCTCCTGATGCTGAGACCCTTGTTTCAGCCCTGGGTCTCCCCAACCTCTCCTGCCAGCCGCCGCCCCCCCCCCGCCCCCCGCTCCCCACAGCGCCTGCCTTCCCAAGGCTGCTCCGTGATCAGGTTGACCAGGTTCCATCCCCAGGAACCTCCCTCCTCGTCCCTCTTCCGGGGTCTGGGGTGCGTTCTGGGAGCCAGGCTTGGCCTACCTCTCCAGCAGGGCCCCATCCGCCGCCCTGCAGACGCGCAGCCTCTCATCTGCCCCCAGCATGGCACAAGCACCTGCAGGCAGAGCTCACGCTGTCATGGACCCCCCAGGCCCAGGTCACTGCCTCCTGCGGCGGGGAGGGGGGCTATGGAGGGAAAGCCGGGGTGTTGCCCGGAGCAGCCGTCAGCCACCCGCTCTCACCTGGCCCTTCCTGCCCGGCTTTGGCCTGGGGTCCAGGTGCCCACCCTCCACGTGTACCCGCTGCCCGTCCTCCCACCCGGTGGGGCCCTCTGAGATCTGTGGCCTCCTCCTGCCTCCTGCGCCTGCCCACCGTCCGTTTGGCATTTCCCGGCCCGGCTGTCCCGGTGCCGAGGATCTGCCCACCCTGGCCAGCGCTGCTGCCCGCCCCTCGCCCTGAACCAGGCCCGAACCCAGGTCTCTCACGGTTGCTGCTTTCCTCTTGCTCAGCCGAGCACTTAGAGCTGAGAGCTGGGTGTGACAGCAGCCTCAGGACGGCGTCCGCACCCTCACAGCTGAGCCACGGAGCCCGAAGCCGACCTGGCGCAGAGCGTGCGCGCGCAATGAGTCGTGGAATGGGTGAGATAGTGGGCCCTTCTCCCTCCCTTTCTGGTTGGGAGACAGTTGGCGGTTGCCCACGTGAGCCTTAACTGTCCGTCTGTCAACTGGGCTGACAGTGCCAGGGCCTGGGGTCCAGCGAGGCTGAGTGCTGGTCCTCTTGCCTGACCTGGTCCCTGCCCGAGGACGCCCCCCTCGTCCTGCCAAGAGCCTCCCGTCGGAGCATCACTTCCAGGATCTGGGAGGTGGGAGGTGGTCGGGACCCCTCCCTGTGGCCCCTGGGGGGAGCCCCCTTGTCCCCAAGGCAGTGGTGGGGCCAGAACACATGCCTGGGCTCCAGTGATGAGGCTGAACAGAGGCCCTGGGGACGGCTGGCTGCACGGCCTGAGGCTTGAGCCCAGTCAGCTCGGAGGGCACTGCCGGTCCAGCCACGCTCCTGAGCCCAGCTGTGAGGGGCTGGGCCACGGAGAGGCCGGGACAGGCAGGCTGGGGCCGTGGACACGGTGGGAGAGCTGAGCCCGGGAGGAGAGCGTCAAGCTGGGAAACGGAGGCACAGAGGAGGGCGAGCCTCTGGGGCTGGTGGTCTCCTGCCTGGGGAGACGCTCTCCCTCATCTCACGGAGGCCCTGCAAGGCGGGGGCCCTCCTCGGGCCCTGAACCGGCAGGCGGCTCAGCTGGGGTCCCTCCACCCCATGTGCCTGCGGGGCCTGCTGCAGCGGAGCCTCTGGGAAGGCCCAGGAGGCCAGGGCGGGACCCTGGGGGATCGGGCACATGCTGACTCCAGACTGGAGTGACCCTGAGCAGGGGTTGGGCTCAGCCTGGGGGCCAGGGAGGCAGCAGCGCTGGACTGCGTGGGGGCGGGGGTGGGCTGAGCTCCCGGAGCTGCGGGAGCTTTTTCTTTCCTGTCCCGCCCCTGCTCCCGGGCTGCCTCTCCTCTCCTCTCTGGTTGGCAGGGTGTGTGCTGCGTCCTGTCCCCTGAACAGGCCACCTCACACACCAGACCCTCCTCCCTCTGCACCAAGGAAAGTTCTGCATTTTCCTGCCGATCCCGGCATGGCAGGGCCTCCCTGCACCCTCCAGGCCAGGGCCCAAGCAGGGGCCATGGGTAGGGCAGGGCAGGGCCTGTCCTCAAGGGGACACTCTTTCCTCGCCACCCCCCAGCCATTGAAGAAGGGAAGGCAAAGCCCCCAGCAAGAGGGTCCAGGGCTGCTCCAGGCCCCTCCGCAGGGAAGCCAGAGCCGGGACTGGCTGGTGAGAGGGTGAGGGGGTGATGTGCTGGCTCTCCGAGGCGCCGGGAACGCGGTGCGCATCCTGAGTGACTGGGGGTGGACCCCCTCTGCACCCCCGGCCTCAGTTTCCTCACCCGCAGAGTGGGTCCAGCCATCCCTGCCCTGCTCACCTGTGAGGTGTCAGTCAATCAAGCAGCACTTCCGGAGCCCGGCCTGGCCGGCACTGAGCAAGGTGGGATGGTGGGGATGTGCAAGTCACCCGTGAAACAGGGCCACCGCCTTGACCCCCACACAGTCCCCGGAGGACCCCGGGCTGTATGTGGCCTTAGGCATGCTGCCCATGGAGCCGCTGCCCTTGGCGCTGTGCTGCCAGCTGGCGGCACCTCCGCTCAGAGGGTCAGGCCCTTCGAGGAGCAGCCGCGGCACCCAGGGTGCCTGCTGGGGAGTCGGACAGGTGGGACCGGGTGAGCGAGGCTGTGCAGCTTTGCTGGTGGGGGCTGGAAAGGGGGGCCAGGAGGCAGGGGCGTGGGGCAGGGACACCCCTGTGCATGCTGCTTGCTGGCTGACCACTCGCACGGCAGCTGGAGCCAAGTGTCCCCTCAGCTGGGCAGGCGCCCTGGTCGGGAGCCAGGCACCCCCTTTCTGCGCCCCACCCCCACTTCTCGAGGCATCTCGGGGTGGCGTCCTGCGGACCCCTTGACCCCGCTGGCCCCGCCATCCTCGGCGCACCAGGGGGTGGACAGCTGTGGTGGGTGGTGACGAGGAGGGCGCTGGCCCGCTGAGCACACTGGTCCACATGAGGCCCTGGCCAGCCTGCCGCCCACCACACCACCTTGTTTAACTGATGGAGGTCTGCCCAGTGTCAGAACCTGGGCATGAAAGCTCAGCCAGGCTCATGGGGCGTCTCATCCGAGCCCACGGTCACCGCCTCCAGGAAGGCCCCCCCAGCCTCCGGCATGTGGGAGCCTCTTCCGCCCCCGCCCCCCTCGGAGCCCCTGAGCACAGCATCCTCCCACCTGTGCTATTTGTAGGTGTGTGTGAGCGAGCGTTAGTGTGTGAGAGTGTGTCAGCGTGTCAGAGTGCATGTGCTTCCTGATCTCTCTGGCCGAGGCGTGCTCCTGCTGGCCGATGGCCAGACCCTGAGCTCACTCTGGACACACGGAGTGGACAAAATGCCCTGCTCGCTAACCGAAGAGACTCTGCCTGCTCAGAGGTGCGCCCACACCCCCGCGTGCTGCCCTGCTGGGCGGGGACCGTGGAGGGTGAGCAGGGCGACGTGGGTGCGGGGACGGCGGGAGGGCCACTCTGAGAGCTCGTTTAGAGGGTGGGGATGACAGCAGAGCCGGCTCCCGGGGTCGGGGTGGGGGGAGTTGGAATCGGGCAGCTGCCCCCTCCTCTCTGCCCACTGTGGCCCAGCGGGCTGCGCATGGCCCCCACCACCTCCCTGGATCCCTGGGGGTCCAATCGTGCAGCAGAAACCCTGAAGGTGGCCAGGATGTGGGGTGCGCTGCCAACCGGCGCAGGGAGACGTCCCCAGACGCCCGTGCCAGGGAGGGGGTGGTGGCCACTGCTCTGCCATGCTCTGCGTTCCCATTTACATCTCGGAGCCAGCGCAGTGCGCCAGCCTCCACCACTCACTTCCGGGGCCATAAAAGGAGCGGGGCTGAGAATAGCTTGCTGTGACGCGGGGAGCTTCCCCACGCAGGTGCAGGCGGTGTCGCCGGCAAGCAGGCAGGCGGAAGGCAGGCTCTGTCCCAGCTCCACCCCCGCGCGCGGGAAACGGCAGCGGCCAACTCGGCTGAGGAGGTCCAAGGTCCCGCCTCCATTCTCCCTCTCACCTCTCCTTCCCTGCCCCTGGGGCTGGGGCCTGAGCCCTCTGCCCTTGAAGCCACCCGGCCCACGCGCATCTCATCCAAGCCCCCCCAGTCCGGCCGAGGCCTCTCCTGGGCTCCTCATCCACAGCTGCACACCTGGCGCAGCTGCAGCCCCCTCGCCGACCCAGGCTGGCATTCCCCCACTCTCTGCCCTGGGGTGTGGTGCCTCCCTGTCTGCTGCCGGCCTCAGATGCTAGGCACAGCTGCGATGACCTCTGGCCCCGATCTCCACTCGACCCGTCCACTGGCGGCCGCTCAGTCGCGCCTCCCTGGGCCTCTGTCTCTGGGGCGCTGTCCACACCCTCTAGGTCTGTGCCCGGCCTTCGCTGCCAGGTAGATCTTACCAATTCTGAATAAAGGGCCTGTGCTTCTGTTCTGCCACAGACCCCACCCGTTGCACAGCCAGTCCCACCTGCCAGGGCCCCCATCCTGGTTTGGGGGTCTCTCTAGAAAGAGGTCGACATGGAAGCAGTGTGGGAGATGGCCTCAGTGCATGCCGAGCATCTCCCTGCTCCTTGGAACAGATGGGTGGTCACTGTCAACCATTTTACAGACGGGGAGCTTGAGGTGCAGGGAGGGTAGGGGATGAGCTTGGGGAACCAGCTGGTGAGCAAATGACCGAGTCTCCTGGCCCCGAGGCCGATCCCTATCCTGCCGTCTGCCGCCACCGGCCAGGTGCAGGGTCAGGCTACCCTGGACACCCTCTGAGCATCAATTTCTTCAGCTGATGGGCAGGTGGCCCCTCAGAGGTTCAGGGTAAGGGGCTGATCGGCAGGACGTCCGACGCACGGCCCGTCTTCCACGTTCTTGGTCCTGAGTTCTGTGTGTGGATCTGGAGATACTCCCCAGGGTGTGGGGGACGCAGCAGCAGGAGGCGGGGTGCTCAGGGGAGGGGTTGGTGACATCCGTGACCTGCACACGGCACTGGCCGCCTCCTGGCCTGGGGTCACCAGTCTGTTCCCCACAGGCCAGGGTAGATCCTGGACCCCTCAGCTCCCCCGCCACCCTGGCACAGTGCCCCCCTCCCCGCTCCCTCCCACCCTTCCTCCCTCTCCTGGCTGAGCTCCAGTGGGCTGCCCATCACCGGGCCAGCCCAGGAGATGGTGACGCGCCGAGGGTCAGGAGTTGCCCAGGATGGTCGAGGAGTGCACAGCCCAGACCATCACAGGCGTCCCCATCCTCCCCCCACTGCATGGGTTCCCAACAGACACTGGCCCCTGCCTGGCTGCACCGCCTGGGAGTCAGGGCCCTGCTGGGGGTGGGCAGCACACCAGAGGATGGGCCCTGAGAGAGGGGCTGGGCCTGGGGCCGGGCCGGTGGGCGCAGGCCCGGCTGGGCCAGCCGTCCTGGGCCGGGTGCTGCCCACCAGCTCTGGGAGCAAGCCTGTCCCCACCCGCCCGCGTGCTGGCCCCGGCCAACGACCGCCCTGTGGACGGGGTGCTCCCTGCGGGGGGAGCCCTGGGGCCCCTCAGGTCTTGGGTGGAGGCTCTCCCTGCCCCTCCAGGGCCACCGGCACCTCCCACCACCCCCGCCTCTGTGTGGCACCCACTGGCCCAGCCACTTAGGCCTCCTGCAGACAGTGGTCATTGTTGGCGCATTCTCGTCCACCTCGAAGGAGGCCAGCCCTCCTGGGGGCGCCTGGGCTGGGGCTGGGGGTGAACCCTGGGGGGACTGGAGAGGAGGAGAGCAGGAGGGCTCAGGTATAGCCGCTGGGGGCAGTGGTTCATCCCCCAACCCAAGGTTAGGATAGGGTCCAGGGCCCTGAGGTTGCCCCCACCCTCTCCAGCCTCAATGCCCCATGTCCACAGACATAGCCTGTCTGAGCTGAGAGACAGGGGCTTTTCCACAGATCCCTGGCCCCTGTGACAGGCCCGAGGGCCACTCCTCTAAGGGCCCTGAACAGACCACCTCCTGGCGGGGGTCTGCACCAGCCCCCTGCCCTCGGCCCTGACAGCACCGCCCACCCCAGAACCAGGCTGTCCTGGGGCCCCGTGTGCCCCCATGGGGGTGTCTCAGGGGCTTGGCTCCCTCAGGGTTGGGGCAGATACTAGGGATCTGGGGAGCCAGATGGCAGCCCCACCCCTGCAGGGTCAGGACCCCCAAGTGCAGCCCTCCCTCCCAGGCCCTGCTCCCCACCCAGCTCAGCCTGGGACCCATCCAAGCCAGCCCATCACCAGAGCGGACTCATCTGCCCAGCAACTTACCGCCCACCGCCTGTGTCCACAGACAGGAGCAGCATGGGGAGCTGTCCATCTCCTGCCGCCCCAGCCCCTGCCCAGGGGAGCTGGGTGGAAGCAGGCCCTCCGTCTACCATCTAAGCACCGCCCGAGGAGCTGTGCTCCCTGAACTGGGCAGGCACACTTTCCTAGATGAACATAAAACGCCATGTCAGGAGCCCACAGGATCTCAGTGTCTCCCCTGGCAATATGAGAGGGAGCCTGGGGAGGCAGGAGGTAGCTTCCTGGAGTGCCAACCCAGACAGGCCTGCAGGCTTACCCACCACGTGTGGTCCCTGGTGCCACCCTCAGCAGGAGGCACTCATTTAAGATCCACGGCCCACAGTCCAGGCTCTGAATTCTAAGTGTCCCACTTATAAGCTGTGTAACCATTGTCACACCACTTCCTCTATGGCCAGCACCAGCACCAGCACCAGCATCACCATCACCGTCATTACCAAGCCCATCATCACCATCTCTACTACCACCACCATCACTACCATCACAATCCCATCATCACCACCATCATAACCATCACCATCAACACCATCATCACCAATCCCATCATCACCATCTCTACCACCACCACCATCACCACCATCATCATCACCAATCCCATCATCACCATCTCTACCACCACCACCACCATCACCATCATCACCACCATCAGCACTCATCATCACCACCATCATCACCATCTCTACCACCATCACCATCACCACCATCATCATCACCAATCCCATCATCACCATCTCCACCACCACCACCATCACCACCAATCCCATCATCACCATCTCTACCACCACCACAACCATCACCATCATCACCAATCCCATCATCACCATCTCTACCATCACCAATCCCATCATCACCATCTCTACCATCACCACCACCATCACCATCATCACCACCATCAGCACTCATCATCACCACCATCTCTACCACCACTGTCATCACCATCATCACCACCACCACCTTCATCATCACCACCACCACCCTCACCATTCCCAGTGTCAGTCAGTTCAGGCCCCTGTAACAGAACACCACTGACTGGGCAACTTAAACAACAGACATTTATTTCTTTCTCACAATTCTGGAGGCTGGCAAGTCCAAGATCAGGGTGTCAGTCCATCAAGTTTCTAGTGAGAGTTCTCTTGGCTGGTAGACGGCTATCTTGAAGTGTTCTCACAAGGCCTTTTCTTGGTTTGTGAGAAAGAGGGGAATTGAAAGCCATCATCCTCTTCTGGTATAGGCATTAGTCCTATTGGAAAAGGGCCCCACTCTTATGACCTCATCTAACTTTCAATTACCTCCTGAAAGCCCTGCCTCCGAACATTGTCATGCTGGGGGCTTCATCATATGAATGGGGGAGGGACACAGATCAGTTCACATCACCCGCCATCCTCAACATTGCCACCACCATGAAAACCACCACCTCGCCAACCACCACACCACTAACGCCGTGCGTTCCTCACTGCCCCGTGCACCACCACCAGTGCCTTTGCCACCATGCTACTTCATCCCTGCCTTCTTCCAATCCGGGGTGCTCTAACTATACCACAGACAGGGTGGCTCACAAGCTGCAGAAATTTATTCCTCACCATTGCGGAGGCTGGAAATCCCAGGTCAGGGTGCCGGAGTGGCTGGGTTCTGGTGAAAGCCCTCCTGGCTGTGGACGGCAGACTTTGCTGCGTCCTCACATGATGCAAGAGGCAAGGGGCCTTCTGGGGTCTCTGTTATGGGTGTTAATCCAGTTCAAGGCTCCACCTGACCACCTCTCAAAGGGCCTGCTTCCCAACACCGTCAGCTCGGGGCTTAGGATTTCAACAGTTAAATCTGGAGGGGTATACAAACATCCAGACCACAGCAACCCCATCACCAGTGTCTTCATCCAGCACCACAACTGGTCATCTCTGCCACAACCACCACCATAACCTCCACCATCCTCACCAGCATCACCATCTCCGGAGCCTCACTGCCAAGGGGCACCACACCTCCTGGCCAGACCCCCTTACGGGGTGGTGGGGCAGATCAGACACTTGAGGCCAGTAGACGGCAGCCACTCAAGGCCTCATGCCATCTACTGCGGAGCCTCCCAAGGACAGCTGGACTCCGTTTTCCTAATTAGGAAGCGTCGGCCAGCGGTGCGGCAGGCTCGCTGAGCGCGCCAGTGACATCACTACTCTGCTTTATTAATAAATGGGGGACGGACGCCCACTCACTGGAGACTGCAGCTGAGCCTCCTCTGAGGAGAACCCTCGGGCCCACGCTGCTTCCTGAGCTAACAGATGCCTCCTTAGACCCTCTGGCTGCCCCTGGCCCTTTCGCTGCAGGAGGGGCCTCGGCTCTTGACAAGCTGCTGGCCCGGTTGCAGGCCTGCTGCTCAGGATGAGGGGAGGTGGAGAGTGAGCCTGGGACCCGGGGCCAGAACCTGCACCCAGACTACCTCACCTGTGCTCCAGGGATCCTGATCTGGAGATGGGGAGCAGGGCCTCCTCCAAGGCTTACTGGGGAGCTGCAGAGATGTGGGCAAGTTGACACAGGCTTCCACCCTGCCAGGTCCAGACACAGAACAGCGTCTCCAACACAGGGAGCCCCGCCTGCCCTGGTGGTGGCCAGTGTCTCAGCACCTGGAGGCCTGAGCTCACACTGCAGCCTTGGGGGACAAGGGCACAAAGCCTGCCCATCGCCTGCTCCCCGGCCCCTCGCTCCTCACGCCTGTCCCCTGGGCCCCACCCTCAAAGTCAGGGTACCAGAGCCTGCAGAGGGACCCCACAGGTGAGTCCCGTCCTGCCTTGGGCACCATGGTCCCCCTCCTCCAGGACGTCGGCTTTTGCTCTCCAGGTCTCTTCTGTCCTCCCAGTGCCCCACTCTGGGGAGCTCCCCCAGGCCCTGGGCTCCAGGCTGTCGTCTGGACAGGGCTAGCTGGCTGCAGTCCCCGGAGCGAGCACAGCGCCAGGCTGGACAGGGAAGTCTCCGGCCCTTGCAGGATGCCCCCAGCAGGCTCCCTGGGCTCCTCCCACCCCAGGACCTACAGCCTCCTGACTCCTGCAGCCAGAGACGACTGGCCTCAGCTGGACTGGAAAGAGCCCAGGACCCCGGCAAGGGGTGGGCAGAGGCAAGGCAGGCAGCTGCCAGGCCCCCAATCCCCATGGGCTCGGAGGATGGGGCTGGTCTGCAGGGGCCCTGGCGCTGGCTCAGGTGTGTGGCTGCCCACAGGTGACACAGGGGGGCCTGGCACAGCCCTGAGGCGCCCCCAGGAGCTGCCTGAATGCGCGGGGGTCTGCACTGGGGGAAGCCCAGCTCTGACATTCACACCTCTCCCACCTGCTGTGAGTCAGCCACACAGTCACTCTCCGCCCCCGGGACCACTGTCAGCAGGGGTAGAGGCGGTGGGGGGTGGGGGTGGGGGCGCGTGTGTGGTCACAGAGAGCGCCACGTCACACGTGGGGGAGGAGGGGCGAGGTCACAAAGGCTCTCACCTTCCCCCAGGGTACAAGTGAGTCCCACATGTGTTCCAGACTCCCTGGTCTTGCCCTCCTTGGGAGCCGAGTGCACACGGGCCAGAATGGGGGCTCAGCCCGTGACCAGGGTCAGAATGCAGGAGTGGGTCCAAGGACCGGGACTCACTGAGGGACCAGCGTCAGGGTTCACCCAGGCCACGCACCGCAGACCCCTGGCTGCTCAGGAACCCTCCAGCTCCTTCAAGGTTCTAGGCTGGGGCCGCCTGCACTCTCTCAAGTCCCCCAGAAGGCACTGCACGGCCCCCAGAGACAGAACAAAGCCAGCCCCTTGTCTGAAAGGGTCTGTGGGGCTGTTGCAACTCCTGGCAGCTTCCACATCCACACACACTTTGTCCCCAGGCCAGGAAACTGTCTCTCGAGAGGATGTGGCAGAGGGGTGACCAACCTCACAGCTGGGCCTGTGGGAGGGTAGGGGCAGCTAGTGACACCCAGACCCAGGGGCCACCCAGGGCCCCCTGCTGGGACTCTGGCCTGCAAGCCAGTTTCAGGCCTGGGCCCTCTTGCTGGGCTTGTGCGCCTGCTAACACTGCCAGAGTGATGCGGCCACCCTCCACCGAACCTGGTGTCTCCAGCCTTCTCTTCCCTCCTGGCACTGCTCAAGGAGCCCCTCCTGCCCCAGGCCCACAGAGGTGAGCACACTGACTGGGAAGCCCGTGGCCGGCAGCGGGCCTCAGGACACCTCCGTGAAATGGGGCCGTCGTAGGGACCGTCCACCCGCCTGGACTGGCCTTCTCCACCTTTGAGGGCCGTGCGCCCAGCAAGCCCGGGTGGGTGGGAGGTGGCAGGCGCTCCAGCTGAGATGGAGGCCCAGGCTGCTGCCCCACCCGGCCTCACATTCTGGGCAGTGGGGGAGACCGTCCCACACCACTCTGAGACCACCCAGCGTGGTCTTTTCACCCTGTTCTTTGGACAGCATCATCTCTCAAGTGCTATCAAGATCACGAACTCTTTCTCCCACGAGTTCACATCTACTGCTGAGCCCTCTGGCAAATCCGTCATCTTACAGTACTTCTCAACTCCATTGTTGAATTTCCATGTTTTTAAAACCAGCTTTTTATTTATCATCTTTTTACTGATTTTCTCTACTTAATATCTTCCTTTCCCCCCTTAACTTCTTTAATCATGGTTTCCTCTAGTTCTTTGACTGTATCTGTAATGGTCAATTTGAAGTCTTTCCCTGTTAAATCCAACATCTCACTGTCACCTGCGTTTTAGGAACAATATGGTATGTGGTCGTATTTCTCTGTTTCTTTGTGTTTGTAGTTTTGGATTGGAAACTGGCCCTTTTAGGTCATGTATCATACCAGCTCTGGGTACTGGTCACCCCAGACTGGGACTTACATTCTTCTCTGCCTCATGTCTTACTGGCTGGGTCATCTTAGGGGCACCCCTCAGTCCCTGACGCTCCTTCCCAGGGGCACAGCCTCAGGAAGGCCCACGGTACCTCCACCCCATGGCAGTGGTTTTGGCAAAGCTCTGACTGTGTGGTCCCTGCCCGCACCCAGCGGTTAAACTCCACTCACAGCTGGCTGACTAGTTTTCAACAATGCCCTGGGCAGAAGCTCCTTCTCAGACCAATCCCATTGCACCTGGCTCCTCTGAAGAAGATACTGAGATCAGTGCTGGGGATTCCCCTGACCACAGGGGGCCGCGGTGGCGGTCCAGCCTGCGTCACCAGTGAACCCGGTCCCTGACCACAGGGAGACAGTGGTCCAGCCTGCGTCAACCTCTCTCCATGACGTCCGTCTCTTGAGAGCACCCTGGGTTGGGCTCCGCCTCGTTCTGCAGGAAACACGGTCAGCTCCTTAACAGCAGCACTAGGCGCGCTCCTACAGGACTAGCCTGCTTCTCCCCTGGTGAAAACCTCTGAGCACTGCTCACTGCTGGCGGTGGGTGACAGGTGAGTGCTGGGAGGAGGGGGCAGCGGTCCAGGCCTCCGGGGCTGGCCCCTCAGCGTGGAACCGCCACACGGCTCACCCCGGGCGCCTCAGCAGTCTGCCCGCGTCTTTGTGGAGACAGCGGTGGAGAATGTGACTCATGGACAGCGCAGCCCCCCAGAAGCCCTTCTCGGGAGACATGTGCTCCCTGGAAGCAGGTCAGGGGCTGTCTGACCACCCTTGGGCCTCCAGATGAGCTCGATGCCCAGCACACAGCAGGTACTCAGGAACGCTACGCCCTGTGCTAGAAGCACATTTAAGGAAACCCACTGCAGCTGGTGTCTGTGCAGCTGCTGGGCAGGCCCTCCGGGGTGGGTCCTGCTTGCCCTGTGCCACGGCCTCCCAGGAACAGAAGCAGTGCGAGTCCCTGCCTCCAACCTCCATCCCTCCAGAAACATCTGGCTACTATGGCCCCGAGCTGCCTCCAAGGGGCTCTGGCTCCACCCCAGGGAAGCCTGGCTGATAGGTCCAGGCAGGAGCTGCAACCGCCTGCCTTTCTGTCCCGCACCCACCCACCCATCAACACCCCTGCCCCCACCACCCCAGCCATCAGAGGTGTGGGTGTGCAGGGCAGGGCCTCCTGCTTCCCACCCCCAACAGGAAATGCAGGTGAGGTGGGCGGTTCACTTCGACCCTGCAGGCCTGATCGGGCTTCTCCAACTGCACAGCCTCTGGGGCCTCCCACACTTGAGGGTCTAATCAGACCCCGGAGACCCAATGCAACAGGGGAAGCAGCAGTTTGAGAAGGAGTGCCAAGGACAGGCTCCCTTCCAGTGGTGACGGCTGTTTACTGATCGGCCACAACACAGCGGGGACGGGAGCAGGCTGTGTGGGCAGGACAAGAATCCAGCCCGGGGGCTACGTCTGCTGGGGACCGAGCACCCACAGGGGGCCTAGGAGGCCTGCCCACCCCCAGCATCGTCCTACTGCTCCAGGCCGCTGGACTGGGGCTGGCCGTGGGGAGGGAGCGTCTCCATGTGTCCATCCACGTCCAGGCTGCCGCCCCGACACCTGACCCTGCCACACGCCCATAGCACAGGGAACACACGAGTCCAAAAGTGGTGAGAGAGGGCACGCTGCACAGCTGTCGCCCCCACATGTGAGAGAAGCCGACGTGACGGCTCAGCAGAAGGCAGTCTGGCCCAAAAATGAAAATGACCTGTGCTTGCTTCATGATCTTCACACACACGTTTTCAGCAGGAAACACACAGCTCACAGAGCAGTGGCAAGCCAGCCGAGACTGTCACCTCAGTGTTTGGAAGGACGCAAAGATACCAGAGAACAACCACAAGCCGAACCCTCACCTCCCCTTGGCTCTTGCGGGAACAGAGGGGTCTCAGTGCGATAAACACAGGAATGAAAACTGTGGGCTGATTCAGCTGCCCAAGAAGCGGTGGAACTGAAGGCAAATGGTGAAGAGCCCAGAAAAGGACGCCCACATCCGGCTCATTCAAAGAGGGCGACCAGGCTGCCCGGGGCACTCCGCCTGGTCGTGAGTGACCAGGGGCTCTCTGTCTGGTAGACAAGAGACTAGGCTGGCCAGAGGCGCTCCGTCTGGTGACGAGCGATGCAGAGCGGAGGCATCAGCAGCGACGCAGGGAGCACAAGTCTCCTGGTACGGGTCTTTACAAGAGCGGCCCACACAGTCAGCTTTCCCCACGTGAATCACTACGGGGCCAACAGCTCAAAATAAGAGTTCCAACGCTGCTAGGTATCTGAGTAGCTCCTTTTACTGTTTCTGTTACATCACCTCAGGCTAACTTCTAAACGTCTGGTCCAGGTTTACTAATGCGGAGGCTGTAAATGCAAAGTTCTGGGGATTGAGGGACTGTGGACCACATAGAGGACTTGGAGCCAAGATGCTCAAAACACTGGTAGCGACCTGGGGTCCCACACTGGGGCAATGGGCTCCTCGGTGGCCCGCTCCTGCTGGCTCTAAAAACAATTCTACTACGTCAAGTGGGCATGCAGCCCACTGCATCCTGGGGCCCAAGCCCGAGGGCAACATGAAGTGAGGCTCACTCTGCTAGGAGAGCTGACGACCGACGTGGGGTCACAGGGCCTGCAATGCCACAGGCAGGGGCCACGCAGACTCTCATTCACAATCGAGTCCCACCCTCAGTGACCTGCCTGATTCAGGGCCGGCCCCAGACCTGCAGACAGCCCCAGGGGGCAAGCGGGGGCCCTCGGGAAGTGTCAGCCCCATCAAGCAGTAGTGGGGACCGCAGTCAGTCGGCTGAAGGTGGCTTGTCCCCGCCTGGACAGACAGATGTCCCTACCCTTGTACACAGCAAGGCTCAGGCAGCGAATACAAGCTGGACGGCGGCCCCTGGAGGTTCTGGGACATTTTGGGTCTGGGTGGGCCCTTCAGGAAGACCTCCTTGTGCTCGGGTGGCAGGACAGACCACACGACAAAACCTCAACGAGGCAGGCTGTCCTGATGAACATGACCCCGAGACCGCAGGTCAGACCTCACTGCCTCAGGCCTCGCCGGCCGTGGACGAGCTGGGCAGCGGGGAGCGAGGCTGGGTGCCGCGAGGCCCAGGCCGTTCCCAGGGTGCCTCAAGCTTGACAGCAGCTGCGGGGGCCCCACATCGCTGCGCCTGCCACCGCCTGCTGAACACAGAGCGCAGCGAGCGCAGCTGGCCCAGCTCCTGCGCCGAGAAGCAGGGCTGCGCCTCCGCGAAGCGCACCACGGCATCGAAGGACACCGCCGCCTGCTCCCAGGCCGCCCTGTCTGCCCCTCCAGCCTTTGCCAGCTCCGGGCTCCCTGAGGCCGCGCTCCCGAGGTGGGCTGGGGCACCTGCTGCGAGCCCGGGGGTGTGCGCAAAGGCTTGGTCGGGGGGCTTAGTCCTGAGCCGCTCTGGCTCCTCCTCGGAGGATGAGCCCTCCACGAGTGCAGCCTCAGGCCACAGCTTCCTCCAGGCCCGGCTGAGGACGGCGCCCGGCACCGCATCCCAGGCACAGGCTACGTCAAGCACGGCATCGTGCACGCTGCAGCGGGGGGCCAAGGCCTGCAGCCTGCCGCGGGGCGTGACGAAGTTCCTCATGAAGTCCCTCCGAATGCCCTGGTCCATGGGCTGGAGCAGGGCGGTGACACTGGCAGGCAGGAAGATGGTGAAGACGTTCTCCGAGGCTAGCTCAGCCTCGTGCGGGTGCACCCGGGAGCCATCCAGGAGGAGGATGGCCTTGCTGCCCTCTGGCAGGGCCACGGCTCGGAAGTGCTCCTTCACTGAGGGCACGAAGATGTGATGGAACCAGTCAGCAAAAATCTCCTTGTCCACCCAGGCGCTGCCTTGGGCCTTGTATGCGACAGGCAGGTGCTGGAGGCCCTGCACCGCCTTGGGGCCACCCCATTTCCCGACCACCAAGGGCTTGATCCTATGGGAGCCTGTGGCATTGGCGCACATGAGGACAGTCAGCCGGTCCTTGCTCTGCGTGGGGCCGTGCGCCGGCCCGCCCTCGGGGTTTGGGCTGTGGGAGCAGCGCCAGAAGAGACCAGTCTCGTCAGCGTTGTAGACCTGCTCGGGGGACAGGCCATGCTCCGCGGTTAAGCTCCGGAAGAACCCGCAGAACTGCTCGGCCGCCTGCTGGTCAGCCGCCTGCTTCTCGCTGGATGCATCCAGCTTCTTGATGCCGTGTCTGGCCTTAAAGCGCCAGAGCCAGCCGCCAGAAAACACACAGGGCTCGGTCAGCTGCATCTGCTCATAGAAGTCCTTGGCCTTTTCGATGAGCATGGGGCCGGAGACGGGCACGCCCTCGGACCGCTTCACCAGGAACCACTCATAGAGCACGCGGTCCAGGTGCTCGAGCTTGGGCGTGTGCAGGGTGCGGCGCTGGGCCAGCGCCTTGTCCGAGTCGGAGCTGGCGAAGAAGCGGAGCAGCTGGGCCTTGTGGGCCCTGATGTCGTACAGGGTGGACATGCCCACATTGTACTCCTGCATCAGTGCCCGCCTGCTCTCGCCCTTCTCCAGGCGCCGGCAGATGTCCATCTTCTCCTTCAGTGTCAGTACCACCCTCTTGCGCTTCTCCCCAGGGCCCCGCCCGGCAACCGGCTTGGAGGCCATGAGGAGGGGCTCGTCCCAGACGAGGGGGTTGCACCTGGGCAGGGGCTGGTGGCCTTCCCGCCTCTTCCTCCCCCACCCTCACCTGCCAGAGCTGACGCAGGGCCAGCACAAGCCAGGGCCCCTTCTCAGCTCCTCTCTCCAGCTCCAGCAGCTTCCCGACCCTCTCTGCAGGGGGACCAGCGTCAGCCACCCTGGGCGCCTCCACGGCTGGACCTCCAGCCTTCTCTGCAGGGACGGTGGCCGTGACTCCTCTCAAACACAGACCGGAGAGTAAAGGGGCCCTGGGAGGTGGTTTCCAGCTAAGAGAGGTTTTACTGCCTGAGCCGTGGGGGCCTCTCTCATGCACATGGTGCTTTATCAGCTGGAAAGCAAAAGGGGGAAAAAAGAGAAACATTAGGGCATGTGCCTCGGCCTCATAAGCACATCCTCGTCAATTCTACCCACACTGAAGCAGCCACTGGCAGCGTCTGGGGGACAATGAACAGAGCTGCCAGCAGGTGACGCAAGAGGCCGGCTCGGGGGCTACTGGGCTCACTGGCTCTTCTCAGCTTCCCAGCTTCCACAGGGACCTCGGAGTCGCTCGCTATGGCTCCAAACTATAAGTGGCTGTCGGGTGCAATCTGACCTCCCAGGAAAACATGAGGGTGAGGCTACTGAATGAAGCCAGGATGTCGCCAAGCACTGGGACCCGAGGGCCATGTCCCACATCCAGACTCAACTTTCCCACCAAAAGTGCTCACCGGGCCACCTGACATGAGAACCTTCATAAAACCCTCGTTCCGTCGAGAGCGGCTGAGGCAGGGGCAAAGGTGCTGCAGCGGGCAGGGATTCCTCTAGGATTCTGGGGCTGGGTAGCCTGCAAGCCTCTTCAAAACAAGTTCCTCAAGCCCTCTCTTCAAGAGCAGGCCCCAAACTCCTTCTAGAAAGACAAGCTCGGCAGGCCTCCGGCTCCCCCCAGAGCCAGGAGGGGCGGCCAGTCTCTCGACTGCTGGTCCCACAGCCTTGGACACCTCTGGTCACAATCACACATGAGCGTGCAAACAGCACTCACACCTACTCCAACCCGGGAGGGACAGCCAGCACATCCCACCGTGGAGAGGCAGGCAGCGCTGGCAGCCGCTCTTCCAGGCAGGACCCCCCACCTCACCTCCCTCCCAAACCCTCACGTGTGGCCCCACCCAACTTCATGCTGTGGGTGAAGCCACAGGACTACTCACATGTGGAACGTACAAAGGCAGCCCTTTGAGCCACAGCTCAACAGAAGTGAAGTGTTTTCAGATGTAGCAAGACTCCCAAAGACAAACCCTAGGCCTGTCAGCAGCCAGCCCCAGGTTCATCCTTTCAGCCCTCTGAGTCAGCCTCCCGGTCTGCAATGTGGGGGTGCTGGTCCTTCTGGGACCTGTTTTCATCCTAATGGCTGTATGACAGTGTGACTGTGCACTGCCTGGCCCCGTGCGGAGCAGAGGGGATGAAAGGCCATAATCCATCCTCAAGGAGACGTGTAGTGCACAACCACTGTAAAAACCAGGAGGAAAACAGGGGGCCCGGTCACTTCGGAGGGCCTGACTCTAAGCACAACAGGAAGGAGGAGGAAGGGCCAGAGAAGGGGACTCAGTGCCAGAAACTGTTCACTGTGTGCCTGACACGAAGCGTGTGCAGCAGGAGCTGGAAACACACGGGTCCTGCTGACGAGGCAGAAACTTCCTTTAAAAGTGACATTCAGGTATATTACTTCTGAAGCAACTTAAGCTAAAAGGGTAACACGGCAAGAACAATGAAGACCGTTTGCAGCCTTGCTGTGGACATCCTCCTGTGCCATAGGGGAGGGTAGGAGGGGGCAGGGGGCGGACCGTGGGCAAGAGAGCGAGCAGCAGGGCACCACCTGCATGCAGCCCCTTCTTGCGAGCGGGGGTAGGCTCGTCCTCAGAGAAGGCCTGAGGAACTGAGGGGGAGCATGTGAGAAAGCCCCTTTCCTCGGGAGCAGCCAACAGCCTGAGGTCGGGGCGGGGGGAGGGGGGTTGACTATGGAGAAGTGCTCAAGACACAAGTTCTGGCCCGAGGAAGGGCTGGATGGAGTCCTGAGAGGCAAGAGGGGCTGGGCAGGGGTCCGCGCTCAAGAGTGGACGTCGGCACACCCTGCAGGGAAGCGAGGCCGTCGTGGGCGCAGGTGCGGGGCCCAGGCCTGGGGCAGCCTAAGGCAGCGGGCCGGCTCGGTTAAGAGACAAGGCCTGTTCTGAGAACGCTCCTAGTTCGGGGACCACGTCTGGGGCAGAAGGGCAAAAACCAGACAGAGAAAAAAGAGGCCAGGGCTCAGGACGGCTCCTTCCGGGGGAAGGGAACTCGGGCGCCGGTCCTGCCTCGGGCCGGCGGGACCCGGCCCGAGGCTGTGTAGGGACCAACTCGGTTCCGAGCGACCCAAGAGCGCTCCGCACCAGCAGCCAGGCCCCGAATCCCTGCGTCCGCCTCACCCGTCACATCGCCCCAGAGCTCGCTCACCTGCGGACGCCTGGCCGCCGCCGCCGGCCGGAAGCGCCCCGCCCGCGGCCCCCCAGCCACTTCCGGGGCGCTCTAGGCGTCTCGGAGGACTCGGCATCTCTGTGGTCTCGCGGGCGGCCGGAGCCTGAGGCTGGCTGCCCGGGCTGAGCGGTAACTGTAGCTGTGGGTTCGGTGGGGTGCGTTGCTGGGCGAGGGTGGCAGGAGGCTGCGGGTGGGAGAAAGCAGTGCTTGAGCCCCTCCCTTTGCGAAGCCCAATGGCCAACGCTGTTTTTCTCCTCCCCAGCCTCCGCTAGAGCCTCCTGTGTGTTAGTCGCTCAGTCGTGTCCGACTCTTTGCGGCCCCATGGACTGTAGCCCACCAGACTCCTCTGTCCGTGGGATTCTCCAGGTAAGGGTACTGGAGTGGGTTGCCATGTCCTTCTCCAGGGGATCTTCCCGACCCAGGGATCAAACCCGCGTCTCCTAGCTAGAGCCTCATCCTCCCCTAATTGAGATGATTTGGATGATAAGACTTGAAGCCTTGACATTGTAATGAGTTGAGATTTGGGGACCTTGGGATGGGGTGAATGTATTTGCATGAGGGGCAGAGGACGTCCAAGCCCGAATGCCCAGAGGCCTGTGTGACTGGGTCACCTCACTTGTTATCAGTGACTTTGTGGATGCTACTGAGTTACGATTCTTGAGGTGAGAGATTATTCCGGTTATCCCATGGGACGGGTGTCATCCGTCACAGGCTCCTCATGAAGGGGAGGAAGGAAGCACAGGTCTGGAGAACCATGGGACCATGGGAGCAAAGCCAGAAAAGGAGATGTGAGGCCAGACACAGAGGAAGTGTGCACCTGGAAAACGGAGGAAGGGGCCGCAAGCCGAGGAACGCAGATTCTAGGAGCTGGAAAATAAAAGGAGGCATTCTCACCGGAGCCTGCAGAAGAACCAGCTCTGTGGACACCTTGAGTTTAGCTCTAAGACTCATGTCAGACTTCTGACCTCCAGAACTGCAAGATGATAAATACGTGTTGTTTGAAGCCAAGTTTACAGCCACTTGTTATGGTAGCAGCAGGGAACTTAGACGGATTTCCATAGCTTCTTGCCTTGGCTCTCAGGATGCTCCCACCCCTGGTCCTCCTTCCTCACCCTCCCCTGCTAATTGCCACCTGGCTACCTTCACCTCTGGCTCTCTCCTCTCTGTCCACGCCCGCTCCCGGGATCTCCTCCAGCCTCGCGCTATGCCTACCAGCAAAGGCAGGCAGCTGAAACGTAGCCTTCTGCCAGGACCCCGCTCACAAGCTCTAGCCGCGTGTGCCCTACCCAGCGCCCAGCGTCCCCTCATAGCCTTCTAACGCACCTTGAACCAGCCATCTCTAAACCTGGGTGCACACCCCTCCCGCCCCGCGAGCTTCAGCTTCACACTCCCCACCGGAGTGAATGGCAGCTCCACGTCTCCATTGCTCCGGCCAAAAACCCAGCCATCCCCGCCCTCTGTCTCTCACCCCCTTCCTCCAACACGCGCACTCTGGCCTCCACATCCAGGCAGCAGCTGGCCTCTGCCAGCCCCTGTCTCTGGTCCGGGCTACTCTGACCCCGCGGGCGCCGTCCCTGACTCCTCCGCAGGGGCCCACTCTGTCCCCGCGGGGCACTCTGCTGCCACCTGTGGGCACAGGATCACTTGTGCCTCCCGGAACCTGCATGGAGCTCCCGTGGAAGCTCCCACCGGGCTCACTGAGACTTCAGACCTTGTCTCCAGGACTGAGTCCACTCTGGCAGAGAGGAAGGGGTCTGGAAGAGACAGGAGGAGGAAGACCATCCCCTGGTGCCACATGAAGCCTGGCGCGGAGGGCCCCCTCCCCTGAGTATCCCCCCAGTGCACAGGGTCTGGCCCCCAACCATGCCAGACGGTCCCCAGCCCAGAAGTCTTGGAAAGGATCTGGCTGAGTGGATGCCCCCGCATCCTGTGCACCCCGGAAAGGTCCTCCTGGGCCATCAGGCCTGGCTGGGTCCAGCTGTCACTGAGAGAGTCAGTTCCTAGGCAGTTTGATAAGTCCAGCGTCCCCGGGGAGGAGATAGGGGTCTGGGGTTCTTGACAAGGAAAGGACAAACTTTTTTTTTCTCTACATTCCTTAGCCTTAGTCGCATAAAACTTGTTTGTTTGTTTTTTTTCTTTAAGCCCGGAACTGATAATTACACAACAGATAACTCAGTTTAAACTATGTGCTAGGGATTATATATAGATGGGGAGACAGTGGAAACAGTGTCAGACTTCATTTTTTTGGGCTCCAAAATCACTGCAGATGGTGATTGCAGCCATGAAATTAAAAGACGCTTACTCCTTGGAAGGAAAGTTATGACCAACCTAGATAGCATATTAAAAAGCAGAGACATTACTTTGCCAACAAAGATCTGTCTGGTCAAGGTTATGGTTTTTCCAGTGGTCATGTATGGATGTGAGAGTTGAACTGTGAGGAAAGCTGAGTGCCAAAAAATTGATGCTTTTGAACTGTGGTGTTGGAGAAGACTCTTGAGAGTTCCTTGGACTGCAAGGAGATCCAACCAGTCCATCCTGAAGGAGATCAGTCCTGGGTGTTCATTGGAAAGACTGATGCTGAAGCTGAAACTCCAGTACTTTGCCCACCTCATGCGAAGAGTTGACTCATTGGAAAAGACCCTGATCCTGGGAGGGATTGGGGGCAGGAGGAGAAGGGGACGACAGAGGATGAGATGGTTGGATGGCATGACTGACTCGATGGACATGAGTTTGAGTAAACTCTGGGAGTTGGTGATGGACAGGGAGGCCTGGTGTGCTGCAATTCATGGGGTTGCAGAGTCGGAGATGACTGAGCGACTGAACTGACTGAACTGAGGGATTGTATAACAACAATGTATCCGGCATGAGGGCAGTTTCTCCTTCCTGAAAACCTTCTGACTAATCCTGATATTTTAGAATGTGGGTCTGGTAGGATCTTTCTATTGTTAAATTCTAATCCTGTCATCCTAAAATGTAAACTCTGGGAGTGGGTCTGGTAAAATTTTTACAACCTTGAGACATTCTTTTGATTTATTGTAATAGCTAATTTAAAAAGTATACAGCTCCCTTGCTAACACTAGCAAGGGGGGGGGCACTCTCCATCCCCTTCTGATGTCTGTGTCAGAAGCGTTGTCTGTCCCTTTCTCACTTTAATAAAACTCTGCTACACAAAAGCCTCGTCGCTGGTCCCGAAGCTAAATCTTCTTCAGAGATCACGAATCTGACACCGTTCATCGTAAGTGTCAACTACAAATTGGTACTTACCAAGAGCCTTGCCAACGACTGAACAACAAAGGCCTTTGCCATCTGCCTCTACAGAGATTGAACCCCATGCTGCTATAGCTGTTGACCTTCAACAATCCCTGAGGGAGTTCAGGGTGGAGTGAGGCACTCGGTGCTCCAGCGAATCTGGTGGGATGGGTCTTTAGGTGGTTGGATGTTTTTAGGAACAGATTTTGTGATCTCAATCCTTGCATCTCCTCATATCTAGAGAAGCACTAAATCCCTTCCTGGTGACATCAGATCCCCATGACTAACAAAAACCTTTTGTAAAATGAGTGCTTCATGGTATTGAACTCCGCCTTCACCAAAATCTTGTATATTGACTTTCCCCCACTGCCACTTTGGAGCAGTCTCTCAGCTATCTGAGATGCTGCCTCCCAGGCTGCAGTCCTCATTTTGCTCCAAATAAAACTTAACTCACAACTCTCAAGTTGTACATCTTTCTTTAGTTGACAGTTATGGTGACCAATGAAGCAACCCAGAGTGGACTTCCTTCCTTCGACTGGACTCCACGAGGAACCAGAGCTTTGGTACCAGCAGCGGCCCCCTGCGCCCGTCCGCCTCCTCGGGGAGTGCAGACGAATTTGGGTAAGTCTCTCCTGGTTCTTGAATCTCCCGTATTGGTTGAGATTCTGAGTTTATTTGGCGGTGGAGCAGACCTGCCCCCTCCTAGCAGGACGGATACTGGGGTGGGCCCGGGTGAAACATCCAGGGCATACCCACTCATGGTCTAGACACTGAGTGGGGCTCGGTTGAAAGATACTGAAGAATTGCCACCCAGTCAAAAGATACTGGGTGGGGGTCTGGCTGAAAGGTGCCAGGAGAATTGCCCACCCAGTGGAAAGGTACTGGGTAGGGGGACTCGACTGGGAAAAAAATCTAGGAATACCCAAGGCTCAGCTGAAAGATGCCAAGGTCCCTCCATTGTAGGGGACTGAACAGTCTTGGCTGTTCTGACACTTTTCCCCAATTTGACTGCCATTATAGAGTTTGTCAGGATAAAAGTGAGGAAAATACATGAGAGCTTTGCTCTGAAGAAAAGGGACAAGACTCCTCCCGGCCAGTTTCAGTTTTCTTAGGTGACTGAGAAATTTACGGGAGTGGTGGAGGCCTAGTCCTCATACAATGCTGTGGTTCCATAGGGAAACCCAGTCATTAATTAAAATACTTGTTCATCCGGGGGTCGCACATAAGAACTGCCATTCAGCGACCTGAGCAGCCTCGGTGGTCTTAGATTGCCGGAGGCAGAACCCGAGACAGGTAAGATGAGCTGAAACAGCTCTGGGGTGACTCCTAGAGGAGTTACGCTCACAAGCAGCACATGGGCCCACTACACAAGTTCACTAGTGACTTTTATCCCTGAAAAATTCAGCTTAAAATGGGATACAGAATCTCTCAAAAACAGAAACAAAGGGATGTCAGAAAGCCAGCCTCTGTCTAACACTCATGTACAATACATACGGGGCTCATACTTGCAAGTACCTAGTTAATTGGAGAAATTAAAAGAGATCTGAACCTTTTAAAATGGCCAGTTGGGGTTCTTTTGATATTCTAAAATTGATATTTTTGCGTGCACAGTTAGAAAAAGCCGGCTGCGCTTTGACTGTTATCGAGAAGCTTCTAAAGCAGGAAATGATAGAGTAACTTCTTTGCAGAAAATCAACAAGAAATTGCTTGAAACTATCAGAACTAAAAAGGCTGCTAGCACTGACTTTGCGAGATCACAGGCCTAGTGGAACTGGGAAGTCACGTTCGGCATTTACGCTATTTGGCTTTTGATTTTGGGGCATCACTTTAGTATCTTTTGGGGGCACTCTTGCCACTTGGCTTTTGACTTCTGGGCATCTCTTTGGTTTTTGTTTCATCTGGAGTGTGACTCCTGCCTGGTGAAGTTCTGGTTCGGTTTGGTTTGAGTGCACAGACATCTGGTACAAACTGTTCGAGCTAATATGTGAATTGCTCACTCTAAGGCTCCACACCCGACCTGGGAACTCCTTGGGAAAATTTTTAAATGACTGGCTAATCTATAACTATGATCCAGTGACAAGAAAAGTGGCCTAAAAATATTAGATCTTTATTGACAAGGATAGGAAAATGAACTGAAGTTCCCTTATGTCCAGTACTTCCTCCTGTAATCAACAGCCTGGGGCTGATCAAACTAAGACACCTACTTCCCCAGAGGGAAAATCCCTTCTGGAACCAATCTGCCTTTGTTTTCAGGGCCAAGTTGAGTACTAAATTTTGGTCTAGTTGGCCTAAATTTTGTCTATAAAACTATGGTCACCAAAAAAAAATTACAATTTTTGACAATGTGGTCACAATATTCTTTAGACTCAAGAGGAAAGTTGAAAAAAAAATTATCTCTTTAAGAATTCTTGCCCTTAGGAAGTAACTCCTCCTATACCTTTAGACCAGAGCTCTCTGGATCACTTATCTAGACCATATCTAATTACTGAAAACAAAAGGAACAAAAAGGGGAATAAAGCCTTTTAAAATCTTACTCCAATCTTACTTTCTTTTATTCATAACTAAGTTTGGAAAGCAAAGCTATAAGATCTCTTGTGTCTATTTGGATGTATGTATATCTCAGTGTGTGTCTTTGTTTTTTTGATAAAATTGCTGATTGCTGACATCAGTTTGTAAATGAGCTCTAGTCTAATTGGCCTTAAAAAAAAGTAAGCACTTACAAATCAAATAATTCTAAATACAAGAGAAAGTAACCTAAATGAATTTCAGGTTCATGTGAAGTGGGAAATATTCAGTATTAAATACCTGATATTAACCAGAATATTTTCATTGTACCTAGGTTTATTTATTTTTTAATTTATTTTTATTAGTTGGAGGCCAATTACTTTACAATATTGTAGTGGTTTTTTTGCCATACATTGACATGAATCAGCCATGGATTTACATGTGTTCCCCATCCCGATCCCCCCTCCCGCCTCCCTCCCCATCCCATCCCTCTGGGTCATCCCAGTTCACCAGCCCCCGAGCACTTGTCTCATGCATCCAACCTGGACTGGAGATCTGTTTCACACTTGATGATGTACCTGGGTTTAATATAAGTAAAATATTCGTATATCTGTTACAGATTTGTCAGCAAGGAAATTACCTTGAGTGAAGAAACTTCTAAAAAACTGTAAATGAAATGAGAACTCTATTAGGAATGTCTGTCTAAAATAGTCTATCCAGATTGGGGTACCTTGAACTTCTAAGGGTTGTACTAAACTAAGTATTGGAAGTCTATTGAATAGCTAAGTCATTTCCAAATAAAATAAGAATTTTAAACATTTACTACTAAACACTACCTCTTATAGAGAAACTAAAGAGATTTAGGATTAAAAATAAATGATGTTTGGTGCCATCCTAAAATGTTCTCTCTAAGAAAACAAAGGTTTTAGAAATTATCACTGCTTAATATTCATTACTCTTAGATATGCCTACATTATTTAGATCAACAAACATTAATATCAGGTATTTAATACTGAATATTTTCCCCCGAACCCAGGATGGACATGTCCGGGTGCTGGTCAGGTGGACAGGGTCTCAGTGCCCCGCCCCCCACACACTGCTCACACAGGTACACGTGTTCACAGACTCAGAGCTACAAGACATGGCCTTAGTTTTGAGAACCTACAGTGGGAGCCTGCCCTGCGGCCCCTCTCCCCAGTCGGTCAGTGATGTGGCAGTGAACGAATTACCCTCCTGCTTATACATGCATTTTTCTAAAGGAAAATGTCTACAAAGGTGGAAGAGAGCTCAGCTGTGGTTTTGCAATAATATCCCATCTTTATTTTTTGATTCTGCGTAAAGTAGTGAATTAATCTGAAAACAGTGTCCATTAAAGTGGAGCAGCCCCAGGAGGGGGCGGTGGTCTGTTGGCAAGGGTCCCTGTGAGGTGGGGTCCTGCCCCGCAACCGGTTCTGCCAGCCCAGTGTCACCCTGGCAAGATCCAGGAGACCCCTGAGCCAGGTGAGCAGGCAGGGTCTCCAGGGAACTGGCTTGGCCCATGGGCGGGTAGGTGGAGGGCCAACATAGAACAGGAAAATCTAGAGTCCCAGGAGGAGGCTACAGAGAGAGGGGGCTCAGGGGACATCACGCCTAAGGCGCTGCCTGACCCCGTCCACCCCAGGAGGGGCTGCAGGGAGCTGGGCAGGCCTCCCAGGAAGTGGGACCACCAGATGGTCCAGGTTCAGTGGACGCCTGAGTGGCAGCATCAGAGCTCAGATTTTGACCCCAGTGAGAGCTCAGTTTAGGGCCAAGATCGAGCTAAAACTGTGATCAAGGAGTGGCGTTTAATAACGGTCTTCAGGGCATCAGGGCCAAGGTCTTCACTATCCGAGCTGCGGCTGTTAGTCATCTATCTCGGTCAGCTAGGGCCGCCATAACGGAATGCCACAGGCTGGGTGACAAACAAGGCCATCTGCTGCTCTCCAGTTCCAGAGGCCGGCAGTCTGCGGTCAGTGCTCCTCATGGGCAGGAGCTGCTGGGGCCTCTTCCTGGTCTGCAGGTGGCCCCCTGGCCTTGTATGCTCACGTGGTAGAGACAGGGCGGATGCCCAACCTCCTGACCCATCCAGCCCTTGTCTCTGAGAACCATCACATTGGGCTTCAGTGTATGGATTTGGGGAGGACACCGTCCAGCCCCGGCCCCTCAAAATTCACGTCCTTCTCATACGCACGGTGCCCTCACACCATCCCGACGACCTCAGAAGCCCTAACTCATTACAGGGCCAACACGAGCGCCTAGAGCCCAAAGTCTCCCCCGATCTCCTCTCATCGCACGTGGCTGAGTCTGGGTAGGATTCATCCTGGCAGATTCCTCTCCAGCTGTGAATCTGTGAAGCCAGACAAGTTCTGTGCCTCCAAATACAGCAGTGGGATAGACTGAGAACTATCCACTGCTAAGGGAGAAACTGGAAGGAAGGATGACGGGTCCCCAGCGCCAGCAAAGCCGGTCCTGCCCGGAGTCAGCCAAGGACTGCGGTGACTGAAGGACAGCATTCTCGACTTGCGCCCCTGGACACCAGGAGACCTCCATTAGGGCAACCGAGAATGTCTCCAGGCCCTGCCAAAGGTCCCCTGGGCCGCAGAAATAATGCCCCTGTCTGAGAACCACTGCCTCACAATGACCACTTCATATCAAATCGCATCGACAAACACAGAGGCAACGGTCAATGTTTGAAGAATGAGTTTTCCCCGCTGGTGCTAGGTGCTGAATGCCTTGAATACAAAGACAGAAAAGAAAGGCCCCAGCCCAAGGCACCCCAGCCCTGGTGAACTGGAGTGAGGGTGGGGTGCAGACAGGCAGCCCCAGTGGAAACAGCAAAGGCACAAGCATTTTGCTTTCCATGTGAGGCAGCTGAGCCTGGGCTGGGTGATGGCCTGTGGCCTGGGGCGGCGGGGGGGGGGGGGGGGGGGGGGCGAGTATCAGAGAGAAAGTTCCAGGTAGGCCTCCACGGCCCAGGGCATCCCCCACAGTGCTCACCCTCCAGCAGTGTCTTCTCCACCCGTGACATGCCCCATGCCCCGGCCCTTTTCCAGGGTAAATCAAAGAGAGGAGTAACATCTGCTCCCTGAGGGCATCCGCGGGCCGGGAAGATCTGAGGAAATGAAAGGCACTCTCCCCCGCAGGGAGGGGCTCACGCCAGACTCCCGTCGGGGCCAGCAGGCACTTGGTGTGGCCTGGGCCGTCAGCTCCAAGGGGTCCTGGGAAGACTGCTCACTAAGGTCAGGTGAAAGGATCGCAGGGATCACTCCTGGCCCCCAGGTCAACAGTGGTCAGGAGCCACCGTTCCCACCCCCCCACCGCTGGGTTTGGAGGAATGTGGGAAGGGCCGCGTTAGGGAAATTAAAATGGAAGAAGTCTTGTTCAGGCTTCGGAAGCAGGAGGTCAGGCCTCTGGCAAGCTCACAAGCACAGTAAGTCAGGCAACACTTTAGATCAGAAAGGGTCTTGGAATTCTTGAGCCCCTGAAGGGATTGGTCTGGCCAACCTCCAGGGTCTAACTCACAACGTGAAGCGATCAGCATTGTAAAACTTTAAAAAAACAGAGCTGCATTTTTGCTGATGATGGTATCAGTTTGCAGCCTGGGCTTATAAGCAGGAGCCCCCAAAACTGCAATCAGAAGTCTCACCCATAGGGTGGACGCACCGCTGGGGACCCTTTCCCAATTAGGGCTCCAGATTGCTGGAGGGTCTTCCCAGAGCTTTTAAGTCTGGATAAGCAGTTGGCCCAAGCTGGTGATGTTTAGTACGCTGTTAACTGCTCTCTGTTCTATTTCTTTCTTTGCTTTTCTTTTAATGACTGTATATTAGAATTAAGTCAAATAGTCCTCTGTTAAATATTGAAATTGTTTACTTGTGTGTAACAAGTAGTTTCTTTTGTTAACAAATGTGTCAAACCTAAAACAATTTTTGGCAATACAGGCAGGTTCCCAGAGGCTGGCCGGAGCCGCTGTGATGGGAGAAGGCTGGGAAATGGAGGCAGTCACTGCCACGGCGCCCATGGCGCCTGGGTGTGGCCAAAGAGCTGGCCTGCTGATGAACCTCCCACCCTCAGGTCTTGAGCGTGGAAGCCTTTCTAGGCTCCTTATGGAACCGCCCTCTCTGCGATGGTGGGGAAGCCACCTGCGTGCCTCCTCCCGGGGTGGCTGAGAAATGGCCCCCTGTCCCCGGCAGGCTCTGCCTTCTGGAAACAGAAGGCCAGGGAGGGTGCAGCTTGGCGGGTGCTGCGGATCTGCCCTGCCCTGGGGCCTGGATCGTCAGTGGTGACCGTGGCCAGCTGCCACCACCACCACCACCCCCCAGCCCCCACGGCCAGCAGAGCCCTTAAAGCAGCCCAGGCTCTGCTCGCCCGTGCCCACCATCGTGAAGGCTCTCCTCCTCCCCCTGCTCGCTGCTAACTTTGCCTTGCAGCTGGGTGAGGCTTGAGTGGGCCCGGGGAAGAGCTGGGGGAGCAGGGCCCTGGGGGTGGGATGATGAGGGAGGCAAGAGGGGCCAAGAGGGAGGAGGCAGCGCGGAGGAGGCAAACGGGAGAAGGGGCTTGAGGCACCGATGCAGCCTGTGTGCAGGCAGGCTGCGTGCGGCCTGTTGGCACTGGGATATGTGGACCTCAGCTTCGACTCGTCCTTCCCGAGGAGACAAATCACCAGGAGCTGGAGCCTTGCCCCAGGGACAGAGCCGGCCTGGCCAGGGATGCACCCACCGCTCGTCACTGCAGGGACGGGGCCACTGAGACGCACCTTGCCCGGTGATGCAGGCCATTTGGGAAGGGTCCTGTCCACCTTGCCCTCCCCCTGCCTGGTGCCCCTCCCTCTCAGGAGCGTGGCATTGTGACAGGGCCTTAGGGAGGCTGGGCAGGGTGCCCCCATGTGCGGGGCCCCTAGTCTGTGGCTCTTGTGCACTGGACGGTGCCCCCCACTCCAGGCAGAGAGGAGGAAACGAGGTTCCTGTCCCCCCGCCCTGCAGAGGGGGCAGCCCTTCACCCCACCCCTCACCCCCCCACAGGCACCGCCCTCCAGTGTTACTCCTGCGAGGACCAGGGCACAACAAGGGCTGCCAGTGCGTGTAGAACTGCAGAACCATTGCTGGACCGAGCGCGTCGGTGAGTGGCCGATGTTCCCCTAGCCTCTCTGCATCCTGCCCTGTCCCCCGCGCCATCCCCCAGATGCCCTGACCCTATGCCGTCCTGCCCCTACCTCCCGCCATCCCCAGGACACCCTGCCCCACACACCACCCTGCCCCCCCACCCCGTGCCATCCCCCAGATGCCCCGCACCTTCCCTCTATGGGCAGGTGCTCCAAGGTCCTGGGATTGGGTCTCCACACTGGACTGTTCATCCTTCTGACCATCTGCCCACCGGCCCTCTGTTCTCCAGTCCCCGCACAGATATGGGCACTCTGCTTCCCATCCGTCCACCCCCACCCTACCCCTTATCCACCCATCCATCTGTCCCCTCACCCATAACCTGTCCCTTTCATCACTCACCCTCTGTGCACCCGTTGGCCCTCATCCCTCCATCCTATATCCACTCATTCACTGAGCATCTCCAGTGCCGGCAGAGGGTCTGGATGCCCGAGCACGTGGACATGGATGAGACCAGGCCCCCCCTTCACAGGGCTCATCATCTTGGGGTCGACCCAAGCTGACTGGAGTTTCAGTCAGAGTCAGGACATGAGGCAGGCTGCGGGAGCTGGGCCAGGGCAGGTGGGTAAGTGCCCAGGGCCCAGCCCTGCCCAGCATCTCCACCCCACCCCCATCCAGAAGCCTTCGGTCTCCTGACTGTCACCAGCAAAGGCTGCAGCTTGCACTGTGTGGAGGACGCGAGGAATTCCTTCGGGAGCAAGAAAAACACATGCTGCTGCACCAACCTGAGCAACGCCAGCGGGGCCCACGCCCTGCAGCTGGCCGGCATCACCCCAGAGCTGCTTGCTGCTCTCGGCCGTCGGCCACTCTGGGGCCGGGCCCAGCTGTAGGATCCAGGAGGACCCTGCTGTGCCCCGTGCCAGGCTGCGGTGTCCAGGGCCCGGGTCACTCCTGACACACCTGGCCCCATCACAGACCCTCCGAGACCCTCGCTCAGGTCGGGGGATGCCCCCTGCCCTTCCCAGCGCTCCGCGGCTCCCTCGAGGACTCCTGCCCAGCAGGCTGGGCTTCATGATGTGAAACAGCCAGCAGATAGCCCACCAGACCCCTGCCCAGTATTCCGACCCACCCTTAACCCTTGATCAAGCATGTCTTCCTCCAGGAAGCCTTCCCTGCCTGCCCCTGCACAAGCTGAGCCAAGTTCTGCCTGCAGCATCCTCCACACCCAGCACAGAGCAGGCTCTTGGAGGGCCCTGCAAAGGCTGAGAGGAAGTGTTCTCAGGAGGCCTGGAGTCAGCAGTGTGAGGTCCTGAGAGCCCCAAGAGAGGAAGCTCGGAGGGCAGGGCTTGTTCATGGGGGTTGGGGGACAGCAACGCCATACACACAGTAGGCTCTTAATAAAGGCCCGTGGGCTTGGCGGCAGAGAGCCTCTGTCCTTTCTTGTCCCACGTGGAGGTCAGGGTCGGGGTCCGGGGCTGTGCAGGTGTAAACATGGAAACGTGGAGCACGTTTAGAGCTCATAGAAAGAAAGAAAGCCAAGGATGAGCATCCCAAGCACTGGCGCCCGGAAAGCCTCTGCAGGACCCAAGGTCCAGAGGGAAGGACTGCGGCGCTGAGAGCAGCCAGCCTACTGAGCCGGGCTCCGGGCTTGGGGCCCACGCATCAGCCCCTCCCCGTGGGGGTCGCTCCGCCCCGGGCCGAGGCTCAGGGCCCCCAAACCCTGCTCTGGACTCCGCAGGCGAGCGTGAGAGGGGAGCCCTGGCTGCACCCTCCATGCCTGCGACCCGGGTCCTGCCCCACCTCCTGCCGTCCCTGCAGTCTCGCAGCCGTGAGCCTCCACGACAGCTCTGCTCCCAGCCCAGCTCCCCGGGCAGAGGTCTCCCCTCCTACAGGACAGGGCGTTGATGGCCCCCCGCAAGGGTGCAGACAGCACGGGGCCACCTGCAGGGGCAGCCCCCCCCCACCCCCCATCCCCAAACAGAGGCCACGGGGAGGGGCAAAGAGGAAGTGCAAACCCCTGTCCCCAAGCTCCGGGACAACACCTGCCCCCATCTCACCCTTATGGTGTTGCTTCTTGTGCAGGAACGAGGCACATTCTGTGAGCTGACACACCTGGTCACACTTCTCAGGGAAATCACTCTTGTTTCTACCCTCTGTCTCTCCTTGGTGAGGAATAGAAACCCTGCGGTGGCCAAAGTGGTCCTCCACATGGACCGGCGTGTTTCTGTTTTTAAGATGACCCTTGCACCTTGCACGGGGGAGATGCTGTCTGATCCGCTCACATCTCCAGTAGCGGGTGATGACCCAGCAGACATGACAGAGTCCTCGCCACACGCCAGGCTCTTCTCGGCCACCTCCCGCACAATCATTCATTCATTCCTCCCTGCTTAGAGGTGGGGCTGCGCAGAGGAGAAACCTGAAGCAGGGAGGTGAGGCAGTTTGCCCGAGATCACGCAGTCAGCTAGTTAGAAGTGGCAAGGCTGCACATTCGAACTCCAGTAGAAACAGGCTCAGAGAGGTGAAGGAGCTGACCTGAGGTCACACAGCTGGCTCCTGCCCACCCCAAACCATCCCCCCAGTGGGCATCTCCTGCTCTGGCTCCAGCTCCCAGCCACACTCAGTCCCGGGCAGTCCTCCTCCAAGGACTCTGGCTGCACTGGGCCACCTGTCTGGCCCTTGCAGGGCTGAGGTTGGTGGGCTCCCTGCAGGCCAATGACTGGTCTAACTCCCTGGGGATATCCCCACCCTCCCCACTTGACTCCAGCTGCTCAAGGAGGCAGGCTGGACAGCAGGGAGTGTGGGTCTCTGGGGGGGTGCTCTGCAGTCCTGGGGTACCTCAAGGGCCCTTTCTGAGTCAGGAGAGATGCCCAGTGCTTCCCCACGCCCGGTGGGTGTCTCTCCTGACTCAGGAAGGGCCCCCTGAGGTACCCCAGGACTGCAGAGCACACCCTGGAGACACCATCATCTGGCCCACATAGCCTGCGGGGGTCAGCCCCCAGGTGAGTCACCGCCTCGCTGCTGAATGCTCAGGGACTGTCTCTGCCCCCAGCCTGGGCCTAGGCACACAGCACCCAGAAAAGCATTCCAGCCCTGGGAGTAATCTGGTCAGTCCTCCCAGAGTCTCCCGGGGTCCACCTCTGCACTTTGACAGAGCTGCCCTCTGCCAGGGCGACCACCCCATTTTTATAGAACTGAATTTCTGCTCCACAGCGGACTGGCTGCCCAGCTGGCATTGCAGACAAACACATCTGCGCCCTAGTTCTGTTCGACCTGCAGGCTACCTCCTCACGGCAATGTGGTGGTGACCAAGGCATGCGTGGATCCATGTGAGCCCCAAACCGGTACTGGCTAGGCCAAAAGTGACCACAGAGCTGCTGCCACTGGGATCCGGGACCCCCGCGCAGAATTGCTGGGGTCCGGACCCAGAGGTGGGTGGGGTCCAGGTGGGGCCGGGGTTGAGAGAGTTCTTTCCTAGGCAGGTTGATAGGAAGTCTAGGGGTCCCCAAGCAGAGAAGGGTCTGGAATTCTCAAGGAGGAAGAAAGGACAAACTTTTTTTCCCCTCTACATTCCTTAAGATTATATAACAATAATGTATCCTGCTTGAGGACAGTCTCTGGAAAAAACCTTGTGGCTAATTCTGTTATCTCAAAATGTAAATCATGGGAGTAGGTCTGGTGAGGTCTTTACAACCTCCAGACATTCTTTTGATTCACTGTAATAACTAATTTGAGAGTATATAACTCCATTGCTAATGCTAGCAAGGGGGTACTCTTTCTGGCCCCTTCTGATGTCTATGTCGGAAGCTTTCTCTATCCCTTTTATACTTTAATAAACTCTATTGCACAAAAGCTCTGAGTGATCAAGCCTCGTCTCTGGCCCTGGATTGAATTCTTCTCCTCTGGAGGCCAAGAATCCCAGCATCTTTTCGTGGGTTCAGCAACAACCTTTCATCTTGGGGGCTCATCTGGGATTCTTCAGGACAAGGTAAGGATGCTTGGAGCTCTAGTTCTTTGTTCTCCTAGTGAACATGTTTTCTGCTGTATTTTACTAACTCTACGGTGTGCTTGTGTTAATGAATGACACGCCCTGCATGAAGCAAGTGAGGAGCCCTGCTCTGCGGTTCCACGGTGATCTCGTAAGGCTTATGGCAGAAACCTGTCGGGGGTTTATACCGACCTGCCAATGCCAAGAGGCACCCATGTCTCTTTTAGGGACTGACCAGAAATGGGCAAAGTGTGTGGACCGAACTCTCCTTTCTCGGTCAAACTTTTCCGTCTCTTTGATCATTTCCTAACTCCTTGGAATTAGGAGTACTAACTTAATCTGTCGGATCATAGACTGTCAAGGGACTTGTGATCTATGCTGTTACTGTGTACCGTTACTTAGATCCCAAACTTGGATTGGTAGTCAGGAAGCGCCTAGCCTCGCTAGGCATGGAAAGTTTGGAAGCTAGATAGAGCTCTAGCTCCAAGAGCATCTCTGAGGTTAAAGGCTACACAGATTGGAACTACAGGGATCATTTTTCCCTTTGGTAATGCTGGCTCTTAGTGGGCCAGAGGAGCCTCTTATATGGGTGTGGTGACGCTTAGGAAATTCTTATACGGGTGTGGTGACGCTTGGAAGGAACATTTCAGTTTTATGTTTGTATCTGTCTTATTGTGGTCAGGAATATACTCAGGGTCATGCATAGGCACTCAGGTGACGAATGTTTCCCCCAGCTGTCTTGGCCTGGGAAGCATTCCGGAAGGTTACTCTGATTGCACTCTGGGTGGCATCAGAGGTAATGGTGAAGAGCTGGACATCAGTCAGGGATGCCATCAGGTCTACCCCTGGTGCATCCCCACCCCATCTTGGTGGTAGAACCAGAAGGGACAAGCATGTCACCTGTGTCGGTAAGGGACAGACTAAGTCCAACCAGGAAGGAAAAGCTTTTGGTGTAGTCTGTCTACACCCCCATCTAGGGCAGGGAGGGACACCTCCCGTAGAAAGATGGAGCTGGTCGCTTCTTTTCTGTCTTATAGATGGGAGCTAACAATTCCAGCCTCACTTCTTTGAACTGTATCCTGAAAAACTGGGAAAGATTTGATCCCCAGGGCTTAAGGAAGACACACCTGCTCTTCCTATGTGATACTGCATGGCCACAGTATTCATTGGAGGACGGTGAATGGTGGCTGGTTGGAGAGTCTCTTAAGTATAACACTGTTTTACAATTAGACTGGTTCTGTAGAAAACAAGGAAAATGGGCAGAAGTAGCATATGTGTTGCCCTTTTTCTCTCTGCAAAATATGCCAGACTTACGTCCTAAGGGTATAGATTTGGGTGTGACACCTTCAGGTCCCTCCTGTCCTCCTACTTTGCTAGATGAGATGGAGGACAGGAGACAAAGGGATAAAGAAAAGCAGGTTTATCCAATCTATCCCTGGGATCATATGCGCAGAGCAGCCAGAGAGACTGAGGAACAGCCACACAAGCTGTTGCCTCTTCATGAAGTACCCACCGGGAGAAATAATCAGTCTATGAGAGTTAATAAGCCTTTTTCTTATAAAGAAATACAAAAAATCAAGGAGGTTCTGGAGACTATTTAGAGGACCCAGAAAAATATATTAGAGCTTTTAAAGGTGTTACTCTGCTTTATGACCTTACTTGGAAAGATGTGATGTATATCTTGGTACAAACGCTGACTCCCGACTCAAAGACTCAAGTTTTGGGAAAAGCAGTTGCTTATGGAGATGGTTTCATAATGAATCAGTAGGGAAGAGGCAGGACGAGATAACTGCCCTCCCCACTGGGAATCAGGTGGTCCCAACTACAGAACCAGACTGGGACTACCACACAGCTAAAGGAAGATGGGATCAGAGTCATTTTGTCAGATGTATTCTTGAAGGACTCAGGCAGGCATGTGCTAAGCCTTTAAACTATGGCAAATTGGCAGACACAGAACAGGAGGAGAAGGAAGCTCCTGGTAAATTCCTAGATAGACTGAGAGAAGCCCTTCGAAGATTCGCTGAGATTGATCCCGAAAGTGAGGACGGAAAAGTGATCTTAAAGGATAGATTTCTCACTCAGTCAACTCTAGATATTGCTGTAAGCTATTAAAATGGGCGTATGGATGAAATCAGTCTTTAGATAATCTGTTACAACTGGATCAGTCTATTATGGAAGGGAATATGAGCAAACGAAACAAAGGCAGAAAAGGACATAGGAACAGGCAGAAGCCCTCACAATGGCTATGAAAACCATTCTTAAACAGCCTGAGAAAAATGCCCAGAGGGACCCAGGTGAAAAGGGATGGGCTTGCTATTGCTGTGGAAAGGAGGGGCACCTCAAGCGGGATTGCCCTCAGGCATCTAAGCCACCCAGCTCCATGTCTGGTCTGCAAGGGACCACACTGGAGGAGAGACTGCCCCCAGAGGCGTAGGTTTCAGGGGTTGGACTCTCAAGACAATCAGGACCGAAGGTGCCCGGGGGTCCCCACACAAGCTCCCGTCCTAATTACACCTGAGGAACCCCGGGTATTAATAACTGTGGGGGGCCAATCCGTCGATTTCCTTTTAGATACTGGGGCAACTTACTTCGGGCTTACTGAAGCCCCTGGCCCACTTTCTTCCCGACCCGCTTCCATAATGGGACTGTCTGCATGAGCCAAAACGTATTACTTCAGTGTATCTGTCAATTGTGACTGGGATTCAGTGCTATTTTCACAGGGGTTTCTGATCATGCCAGAGTCTCCCTCACCCTTTTGGGGAGGGATATACTGAGCAAGGTCCATGCCTCTGTTTTCATGAATACGAAACTGTCACGCGAGTGTATGCTCCTCGGTTCTTTGTCTCGTCACAACAAAAATTTGGAGTGACGGACATTAAAGCCCTTTGGCGGGTCACAGCTCTCGGAGGACAGACCATGTTATAGCTCTCAGGTCTCGAGCAGACCGTGTTACAGCTCAGTGTTACATCTCTATTTATTTAGATAATAGCAGGAGAATCCATCTTTGAGGCGTGAGGGCACGTCGATCCAAAGACACAAAGAGAGGATCGCCCCATTGAGCGGGAGAGAGAGGGAGCAAAAAAGGGGCAGAAGAGGGCTTTGGCTCCTCTTTTTATATGTTTTTCTGTCCCTGGGCCTGCCTTATGCAAATTGGGCTTAGGCAGGAGCATTGTTTGTTTTACCTGAGGTTCTCACTCCGGTCCTCGGACCTTCCTTTGTTCTATTTTCGCGGGCTTTCCCTTCCAGGGCTTTTAGCCACCGCCATTTTGGACTCCTTTTCCCTATTCTAACTACCTGACATTCTCCCCTCAAGAGATGGGAGGCCCAATTCTTTGGGAATAGGGGTGTCGAGGTCTCTCTGGCTACTTCCTGCTTAACTGGGACGGCGAGGGGCATTGGGTCTCCCCCTCTTGCTAGTCTCAGGCCTCAGAGTCCTTATAGAGGTGTCCATCTAAGGGTGACTGATGGTTTCTGTGGTTGGCTGCAGTTTTATATCTTTGTTGAACTGGCGCTGCATGTTGCAGCTTGACCTGGGCAGAGACAAGACAGGTTAGACAATTGACAGTACATGGCACAGTCATTAGCAGCATCAGTATGGCGTAACAAGGACTAGTAGGGGCATTGGCCAATTCTAAATTCCCATCGCCAGGATGGCTCAAGTCCCTCCTTGTTCAGGGATCAGAAGAACTATCTCCTGTCTGTTTTGGAGTATTATTTTTGCCAAGCTGTGTTTTCCCTTTAGAGCCGTTTTAAGAAATCTTATCCCCAGAGACCAGATTTTGGGGTTGTTTATTAGAAGGGCACTCATGTGTAGTTTTGATAGGTATCTGAGATCTCCCAGGGGCTCACAGGTGTACTGAGTGTCCTCCTCTGTTTTCTTCCATGGCTTGACTCGTGAGTAGTGAATCCAGGAGTCATGTCCTGGCACCGTGACCACTGTGGGGGTAGAAAGTATTACAGGGTAGGGGCCTTCCTTGTGGGCTGGAGTGGAGCCTTTGGGGACCCATCTTTCCAGACTTGAATTAGGACTTGAGTCCCTAGAGCATATAGTGGCGAGTCTTTAGAGGCTTTTGGGTCCTGGTTCATACCCCACAGCATATATCCTGTTGGAATTGCCCAGTGGCCATGGTATAAGACTGGAGGGTCTGAACCTCTGGATCTAGGAAGAGGTCATTGACATAAACAAAAGGTCTCCCATAGAGCATCTCATAGGGACTAAAACCAGCCTGTTCCTTAGCGGCAATATGGGTGCAGAGGAGAGCTATTGGGAAAGCCTCCTTCCATCCCAGGGAGGTCTCTTGGGTTATCTTTTTTATCGCTCATTTTAAGAATTGGTTGGCTCTTTCTACTTTTCCTGAAGACTGAGGCCTCCAGGCACAATGGAGATAATAAGCAATGCCCAATGCTTTAGAGATTCCTTGAGTGATCTTAGAAGTAAATGATGCCCCATTGTCACTTTGTAGTGACCTGGGCAGACCAAACCTTGGAATGATTTCATGGAGCAGTTTTTTTACAACCTCCTCAGCCTTCTCAGTCCGGGTGGGAAAGCCTTCAATCCATCCTGTGAATGTATCTATCATGACTAATAGGTATTTATACACTTGAGAAACTGGCATCTGGGTGAAGTCCATCCGCCAGTCCTCCCCTGGGTAGGCCCCGTGTTGTTGGATGTGCCGGGCCAGCTGCGGTCTTCGAGCTCCTTGGGGGTTGTTTAATTGGCAAGTGGGACAAGAGGAGACCATTTGTCTTATAGTTCTTTGGAAGCCTGTTCCTCTGAAAGGCTTTTCTAGTAATCTTTGGAGGGCCTTTTCTCCTAAATGAGTGGTGGCATGTAAGGAGTTAACCAACTTCCATTGGAGGTTCCCAGGCAGAAAAAGAGCCCCTCCTTTTGGAACCACCCCATATGGTCTTCTTGAAAGCGCTCACTCTTAGCTTTAAGAGTCTCATCTTCAGTATGTGAAGGAGTTTCTGGCAAGTTAATCTGTGGAACTCAGGTGGCAACCCCTATTAGGCCATGGTTCTGTAAGGCTGCTCTCTCAGCTGCCTGGTCGGTTGCTTGGTTCCCTCGTGCCACTTCAGTGCTCCCTTTTTGGTGTCCTTTACAGTGGGAGACAGAAGCCTCAGTGGGCAGATGGACTGCCTCTAAGAGTCTAAGGATTTGATCACCATATTTGATTGGGGACCCTCGGGTGGTCAAGTGGCCCCTTTCTTTCGAGATAGCTGCATGTGAATGTAGCACCAGGAAGGCATACTTGGAGTCACTATAAATGGCTATTCTTTTTCCTTTTCCCAGCTCTAAAGCTCGAGTCAGAGCGATGAGCTCAGTCAATTGGGCTGAAGTACCTGGTGGCAGAGGCTTAACCTCTATGATCTCAAAATTGGAGACTATTGCATATTCGGCTCTTCTTTTTCCATCCAAGACAAAGCTGCTTCCGTCAATGTACCAGATTTCTTCAGCATGGATCAGAGGATCTTTTGACAATCCCTCTCGGGGTTTTGTCCCGTGGTCCAAGGTTTCTAGACAGGTGTGAAAGGGGAGAGAGCCCTTGGGGGTAGGCAGGATGGTGGCTGGGTTAAGAACCTCACAAGGGGATATAGTGAGGCCTGGATTTTCCATCAGCATTACTTGATATCTGAGGATTCTTTGATCAGACATCCACAAACGGCTTCTCCCATTTAGGAGCTGTTTTACTTGGTGGCTGGTAAAAAATAGTCAGTTTGCCCCCAAAGGAGAGTTTTAAAGCATCTTCTATCATGATTGCAATAGCTGCAAGATTTCAAAGGTGGGGAGGGGGGCAGCCTTGGGCAGTTGGATCAAGTCTCTTGGATAAGTAAGCTACAGGCTGGGGCTCAGATCCCAACCTTTGAGTTAACACTCCCAAGGCTATTCCCTCTCTCATAGACATAAAGTTGGAATGCTTTTTTTGGATCTGGCAACCTCAAGGCAGGTGCCTGAGTTAAGGCCTGTTTTAGTGTAGCCTCTGCCTTCTTTTCAGGAGTTCCCCACATTAGTGGGATTGAATCATCTGGTCCCTTTAAGCTTTTATA